TGAAGTCGATGTCACGTTTGATAAGACGGCAGTTTGCAGTGCAAATTTGCATCGCTGTGTAGTAATCCAGTGGCTGTAGCTCTTAGCCCAATACGCGTGAGACTTTCCCAGAGCGCTTGCTCCCTGCCTCTGTGCCTCGGAGCGAGCTCGTTAAGTGCACGCAAGATATATTGGACCATTGTGTCTTCCGCATTGAAGACAGATCTTGTAATTCATAAATCCGCTTCCCACTCAAAATCAAATGAATTGAGAGCAACTATGCTGCTATGAATGCGTGACTGCACTGTTTTTGGAGTGGAATCTTCTCGGCCTGGTGGGGCCTACCAGCTGGCATACAGCAAATCCATATCCAAGATACATTCGAGTGACTCGAGATTGGCACCTGTACTGTTGCAACACAAATTCTGGGTGTGCAAGTCGACGACGTAGATACCCCTTGCCTCATATTGCGGACGCTTGAACAGCATTCATTTACTGTTGCAAAACGCTATCAGAGCCTGGTCCTTATATGTACCACGCCGGAAACCACTGTTATAAAGAGAACAATAACGAATCTATGGTCACTGGATTTCGTGGCACAAATAGTAAAGCACAGCTTTTTTTCACACAGTCTATACCACTAACTTGTTAGTGGCATTCGTGTGGTATTTGCACCATCTCTTATTTGTGTCATGGTGCCACTGGTACTTATGATTTATGGCCATTTATCATCATTTACTTTCCACTTGTGGCAATAATTCATCAATCTTTAGTGGCAGTGTGCATGTTGATGGCATTATTGGAAAGCACATATATTCCACACAACTTTCAGCAACATAAGAGCACTCAGATGCGAACAGACACTGTGTCAATAGGTAGCTATTCCAGCGACCTGCGCAAGTGTCAGGAGAGCACGAAACAAGGGGCTTGAGCACGGCTCACCTGTCCTGGACCGAAGCCGCCCATTCTCGCGCTCCTACAGAGCCAGGGGAAACAGGCGTACCGTAGAATAGTCAACTCTTCCCTATCAGAAAATTTTACCATTACGCATTTTGCTGCGCATGTTCTTTCAGAGCTTTATTTTTATTTTCTATGTGGCTCCGCAAAACTAGGCCAAGCATTGCGTTACTATTTACGGATTTTTCTCTGCAAAGAAGGCCAAGCATTACGTTGCTATGCGGAAGACTGAATATTTTATAGTAATCAAAAGGAGGGTCGCGGACGGGGCGAGGTGGGGTGTGGTTACTGGGCGTCGCGCTGAGTGGGATGACGTGTGGCTGTTTTGGGAGCGATGCGTTGTGGCTCCCTCCCAACAAATCTTTGCAAGCAGGAACGCCGCCTACAGTCATGCCGCTGCACCCGTTCCCCGTCATCAACCGCGATCATCACATGCTGACTGCCAATGACAGCCTGTCGTCATGGCATCATCCAGCGTATTCAATGGTGAGCTCCCGCCCTCGTAACATTTTGGACAAACTCAATGTCACGCACTCCGTCATCCGCAGCAGGGGTTCATGCTGTGCATGCAGGCAGCTGATACAGCTGCAGCACGTCAACCCCGTTGTCGAAGGAATAGCTCTTCGGAGGGCGCTGCGTCTGCCGCCTTTGCACCACTATGTGCAAAACAAATTGTAACTACTGCCAGCTCTCGTGATTCACATTTCTTGGCCGGGCGCCTTGCAAGACCAGGCTGCATGTCCAACCCGCCGTTCGTGGCTCAAACAACCCTGCACCCAAGTCCCCTGAAGTCTCTTTCCAAACGCTTCGGAAACGGTTGCTGCTGATGCATTTCACGGCTTCCGGCGCAGTTTTAGACCGCGCCGGCACACCCGATGCAATTCGCCGTCAATTCGGCAAAACCTAACCGCATCCATCAAACAACCGCCGTGCCACGTGCTCCCAACCGTGTCTGTCGTACGACCCCCATACCTTCTTCCTCGCGCCCGACGACTCCTCTTCGGACGATGACTTGGCGAGGGGCGAGGCTTGCCCCTGGCAGAGGTCGACGCGACAGGCTGGGGACCGTTCGCGCTGCCGTTGGGCGCCGCTTCCGGGCGTGGCTGCGGCGGTCTGCCCGCGTGGACGGGAATCGCTGTACTTGTTGGGCCCGAGGACAACGGGCCTCCTTGCGCGCCGCGGCTTGGCCGCTGCCTGGCCCAGTGGAGGGCTTGCGTGGCTTCTCCCTCCACCTCCGAGCCCATCAGCGTTTGCAGTCACGTGCTGTGGGCACGGTCCTCTCGGCCATCTTCTGGTCGGGCGTTTGGGCACCCAGGCGTCACTGGGCTGGCGTTGATGACGTGCGTTGTGGCCGGTGCGTCAAGCGCATGGGACCGATTTGCGGCGGACGGGACGGCTCTCAGGAGGCCCGAAGACGAGGATCCAGACGAGGTGAAGCGGAATCTGAACTGCGGATCGCCAGCGCTGCTGAACGTGCTGGCCGCAAGTCGTCGATTTCCTTCACGATCACTTGCTCTGGGAACGCGCCTGCCTTGTTGAACGAGGAACGAGGGACGAGGAAGGGGCGCAGCCGGAGCGAACGCCAAACGCATGTGCGCGCGCGGGCTGGGCGCGGAGCTCTTCTTGCTTCTGTTGTGGGATCCCGGCCGCTCTTGCTGGCACAGTTCAAAGCCGAGCTTGGCGAATCTGCAGGGTTGATTTCGCAAAACGAACTGCCTTGGGGACGGGAGTGGCCCGTTGTGCGCAGCGGCAGTCGTGTGCGTGAGTGATGGGCGGCCTCTTTTTCGGGCTTTCTGCAGTGTCGCATGTGCCCTTGTTCATGTCGCGGAGGACGTCCGCCAAGTCGGCAGACCGATGTCGTCAGCGGCACTGCGTGCAACAGCACGGCCCGTGCCCCATGTTTGGATTCGTGTGCTGAGCGCCGAAGGTGGCGACGACCATGTGGCAGGTGGCCATGTTGCCGGAACGACTGCGTGGGATGCCGTGAAAGAATGACTTGCTGCGACTGAAGGGTTGCACTCTTTGATGACGTCTTGATGCGTGGGGAGAGTCGTGCACCCTCTCTGGACACCTTGGCTAAGAGACATCCTTCCACTTCCGTGCTTTTGCCCTTGGCGGGGCAATAACAGAGAGCTTGGAAATGAGCCCAGGTAGCGCACTTGCAGCTGGCGGACGGACATGAGCTCAGTATGGCGTGACACGTGTTCCTTTTAGGCATGACTCAAATCGGACTGCCATCTATCCAAGGTTATAAGACAGTGAAAACGCTGAGGACAAGGCCTCTGTTTGCAAAAGAGAACAGGGAGACCAAAACAACGGGAAAATGGTCCAGGAAAGTGACTTGTGGTGTGATAGCTCTGAGCCCATTGTGCACTACAAGATTCATGCAGTGCCGCAGTGCGAATAGAAGAGGATGGTTCTTGCGCTCATCAAGTTTTCTGCAGAACTTTGCTCTGGAGTTGCAGTTGCAGGGTTGAAAATAGAGATGACAACAATACCAGTACGCCAGTGTTGCCATTGTCTCAGATGCACCTGAACATGCATCACATATGGATATGGTCATGGTTGGTCAGCAACCAAGTTATGTGCAGTAACTGGGCCTCGGCTGAAATTTCCTAATTCAACATTTCCTAATCTTGCTGCAAGCCACGTTAGTCTTGCTCTACCACGCAGGTCGCCTTGCTGCCATTCATGGCGATCGCATGTTGGGCGATCTGGTTATGGATTCCTGCTTGACATGGCCTTGCAGGTGCAGGTGCAAGAGCTGTGGTTGTCCTTTTGACGCAGATGTATTCCCGTGGTTAACACAGCTCACCTTGGCTCTGCGACACCGTTTTTCAAGCGTACAAAGGTCTCTTTTAGCCACACAGTTGGCCCTACTGTCCATGGATTGGTGAATCTCATTTAGCCATGCTTGCAGGTCCATTTCAAGCCAAAGTTTTTCGTCTGCCAAACAACACAGTTGCTGCATTCAGGGATTCCATTGTTCATGTCAACCAACTTTTGACCGCTGCTTCTAAATCTCCTTCTTTAAAGGACGCAGGCAAGGGCATTCTGAGGGCTAGAGGAGCATCCTAAGCTTTCATGGCCAGCAGGATGTGAGCACCATCGGCATCGCCGACATGCTTCTGTGGCACACGCTGTCAATTCTGCCAACAGGTGCGAGGGGTGTTTCAAAAGCCAAGCTGGGTTTCATTCCAACCACAATAGTACAGGGCCCAGCACTTGCCCGAAATTGCCAAGTTGGTAGAATTGCTTTGCTGAATGGAAATGTATATGCGTTAGCGATTTGACAGGCGCCACGATCGCGACCAACGCCATGTTGGCGGTCAAAGCGTTGGTGGTGTCGACGTTTATTGCTAAGGGGCCACGGACAAGTCTTCGACACAAGTGTTGTTCTCGGGAATTGACAACTGAAGCAATGGTTCCACCTTTTGGACTTTCTGTTGTTGGGCTTGCTGGCCGGCACAATCTTTCACAACGCGCTGTGCAGCAAGATTACTGACAATTTGAGATTAACAGATTCGAGCGTGTGCGCTGCCGTGCACAGGACAATCTGCAATAATGCCAGTGGGCATTGCGCTGCAGCGAACAGGGCAACACTCACCAAAGACACCATTCTCAGTAGTTCTCCAAGGGCGAAGTAGCATCCAAACACCTTCAATGTGATTTCTCGCTGGACTGATCCACGAGCAATCCGGGACCCGCCAGGACAATGCCAATGCCGGGACCCGGCAACATGCCAAGCATCCCTGCCGCCGAGGCGGGCGCCGAATCCACAGGACGCTGTTGCCAAAGCGGATGAGCCCCTCCTAGCCGCCCGCACCACCCTAGAAGTTCTCGCACGGCCAGCAAGTCCGCCTTCGCCGGCGCCCGGATCAGGGGCATTAAGCGCATTTGTTCGGCCACACCGACTTCTGGTCACCTGGCCGCAGGGGAAGGCGACTTGGCTGCCCGGTTGGAACGTCGGCGGGCGCAGCGATTCGGCGGCCGCACAGTCGGGTACGGACGGCCTGCGGGCGGCAGGGGTGGGAGCCGGCGGGCGGGAGGCGGCGTCTGCCAGCATGGAGAACGGGGAGAAGCTCGTGATCGGCAAGCGCTGCTACGTGGGCAACCTGGCGTGGCGGACGTCCTGGCAGGACCTGAAGGACGAGTTCCGGAAGTGCGGGACCGTGGTGTACGCCAACGTGATGCGCACGGAGGACGGTGAGCAGGCCGCCGCGGCGGCACGGGGCTGGCGGGGCCAGTTTGTGGGGCGGTCGGCATTGCCGGCGGGGGGCTAGGTGTGGGCGGGCGGGGGGAGTTTCGGGGCGGATGGGCGCAACCCTGGATGGGGAAAGTTGGCGGGGATTGACGCGCTGCTGTGGGGCTGCGCAGGCAGGTCGAAGGGCTGGGGGATTGTCGAGTTCGAGCACCCTGAGGAGGTACGGCGCGCGGCTTGCAGCCCCGGCGGGCGGTTTCGGCGGCGCTGCTGTGCGCGCTGCGGCGCCTTCCGGACGGTCCCGTTCGGCGGCTGGGGAGGGCAGGGGGCGCCGCGCGGGTGGTGGGACGCCTGTGGGCAGGCGCGCTGAGCAGATGGCTGATGACGCGGAAATGCGCTCCGCCGACTCCAGGCCTGCCGGAATGCGCGTCCGGCGGCGCGGGGAGTCTGCCGGGCGCGGCGGTTGGCCCGTGAATCGGCAGCAGTTCCGGATTGCCCGCCGCAGGGCGGTTGGGGGAAATCTTGCGGGCGTTCGGTGGCCGCGTGATGGCGACGGCCAGAGTCGATTGCATCCTTAGGGAGCGCCGCAAGCGCGGACACACCAGCGGGGTCCTTGGCAAAGGGTCCTTGGGAGGACTGTGATCATTGCTGGCTGCCCGCGCTGACCGTCTGTGGGCCGTGCAGGCGCTGAAGGCGGTGGAAACCATGAACGGTGTGGAGATTGGCGGGCGGCCGATAATGGTCCGGGAGGACAGGGAGGACCGCGACGTGAAGCAGTATAACTCTGCGGGGAGAAACGGAGGCGGCTACGACCAGGTGAACCTCGATGGAGCCTGCGCCCGACCCTGTCTCGCCCAGCCCTCGCGAATTGCTGCCGTGCGCGTGGTTCGCGATGGGGCTCGCGCTGCCGAGCGGCGCGTGTCAGGGATGGGGGGCGGTACTCACGGTTTCGTTGCTGCTGGGGCAGAACGAGCAGACTCCACGGAGCGGAGGCGGGGAGCACATGGAGATGCAGGTTTGCAACCGGTGTCGCCATCTTCCTCGAGAACCTGGCTTTGCCCGCGCGGCTGTCGTATTTCCGGTGCTCCGTCAGAACCAGTCTGCGGCCTTGTGCGCAAGCATGGGTATTGCTTCTTCGTGCGAGCTTTGATTGCGCTTGCCTTCCTGTGCGAGACTGTACACAATAATAGGTAATTGGTGCCTTGTCCATGCTTTCAGGTCGTGGTGCATGGACTGCCTTTCAAATACACCTGGCGTGAGCTGAAAGACCTGTTCAACGACAAGATTGGCGGAGTGGTTCATGCAGAGGTGGTGTATGGACGCGATGGGCGGAGCAGGGTATGTCGAATATTGGCCATGACCTGCTGGCGTGCTTGTTGTGGTGGTCTGTTCCTGGTTGTGCTGTTGTGTTGTTCTGCGACTGCAGTAGGACCAAATGTTGCCCTTGCACCTGTCAGAAGATGGCAGGGATCGTTGACAGCCACATTCTCATTTCCAGGAATAATTTGCTTCTTGTGTTGATGGCCCTTTCCACCAGCGAGTGTGCAATTCAGGTCTTGAAACGAATAATTGTCCTGGGGCATCAGGGTTGATTGAATGATAGGTTGACATCTCAATCAGTGATCCGAGGTGATGGCCCAAAGTTCGTTGTACAGTGCCCTTGCTTCAAAATTGCCAGCAGCTTCACAAATATGATGCCGGTGGGGCGATTCTTACTGTGTCCTTTTATTTGCCCTTGGGGCACAATCAAACCTTTTGCATTCTTTGTCACGCATCCCATCCAATTGAGCATGGGCAGTGGAGTTTAAGGGGACATCCCCTGTTCTGTGACCAGCGCAGTTGATTTTGAGTGGCCACTGAACGAGGGTTCATTCACTGTTCACAGTCAATCTTGTCACCCCCTAGCCGCTTCACTGTGTCAGAACATCCATCAACTCCAACAGTTTTGGGAGAGACGAGGTCATGTCCTCTGTGTGCTGTTTTTAGACTTCCTGTGCTTGGCTGCCTTCTCACATGCGCCATAGCTTGGCTGCCTTGGGCTTCAAAGCGTGTCTGTATAGGCTCTGAGACATGCCTGTTATAGCCTTGGACGGAAGTGCATTGCAGAGTGAAATGTGGCAATGTAACCAAGGGAGCATTACACGAGTGGTTGCCGTGGCGATGCTGCAGGGATACGGAACCGTGAGGTTCGACAGCACAGAGGCTGCGAAGAAAGCCATCGATGAGATAAACAATGCTGACCTGGATGGCCGCCGACTGGGTGTCAAAATGGACAAGTATGCCTGAGGTCTCGTGGCCTTTGTCACACCCTTGTTGTGTACGTGGTGCCACAGAGGGCCATGTTGTAGTTCATTCGCCGAATGGATTATTTTCTATTCTAACACTGGCAAGTAGTAAGGACAACTTAAGGTGGTATGACAAGGCTGAGGTCTCTTCTTTGGCCTGTGCCGACTGGGCTCCAACGGAAAACGAAAAGAAAAGCAACGAGCTGGCATTGTTAGTCGTGGTGGTGATGTTAGTGGGTGCTTTTCAACTAACAATTGGCTGGATAATTGTGTCTTTGTGCGGCCAGCCCCTCAGAGAATGTGTGGGCAGTCATTGTGAGAGGTGGGAGGGGGAGGGCGGCGGTTGGGGGTGCAGGTTGTACAAGATGTTTGGGGTCAGTATGTGGGGAACTCGGAATTTGCACACCTGGTGGCTTTGTAGAACGCCACCTTGGGGTCAATGCAGATGTATTTTGGTGTGCCAGTAGGGATTGTGCGTCACGTGCCGACGGACCGGGGATGGCGGCAGCTGCTGGCGAGGGCGCCGGCTGCTTGCCGTGTTAATCAGATACTTATGGACATGCTGCTTCTGCTAAGATGTTGTATTGAACGCTGGAGCCCTCCAGGAGTTTTGCATTGTGTGTGTGATGCTGCCAAGCTGGCTCTGCCTGCAGGGGGCCTTGGTTTGTGGGACAATTCGCTGCTTGCACCCCCTCTGCATCATGCTTTTTTCGAAAGGGTGCTGGCTGCGGTCACAAAGGGCGTGCTATCCTGTGCTGGCACCAAATGTTCGCCGACCACAGTTGTGCTATATATTCAAGGGGGTGCGTCTTCTGCGCCTGTGGGCGCTGGGGGTGATAATGAAAGTCTAACGCGGTTTGTAGATCAGTGCTGCAGTGTTTGCACTCCAAGTATGCAGGCGGTGAGTGTATACATGGGGTCCACATTCGACACACCGCTCAGTTCAGTCAACCCACTGGCGTGTGCTGTGTTCAGGGTGGTCTCCATCAGGCGTCGATGCCCCTGACCTCATCAGTTGTTGTGTTTGACCTCTTCCTGGTGATGGGGGGTGGCTTGATCTGCTCTCGATTGAACACGCTGCACTGCAGGATGTTACAGTTGCAAGGGCGGTGTATGCCATTCAGGAGAGAATTCAACGTTATATGCCTGATGGTACACTCTTTCCATACTAATCGTTTGCACCGCATCGTGTTGTGCACAGCCTGCATCACCAAGCAATTCCTCTTCACACGCTCATTCAACCTTCTTCGCCTTTTTGCAACAGAATTGATGCTCTTGGAATGTGCCAATGCAGCTGTGATGGGGGACATAAGGCCAGCGTGGTCCCTTAGATGGGATTTGTCGACGGCACTTGTCAGGTGGCCTGCGCATCCGACACGCACTGTTCCAAATTGTTCATCCAAGCCCCCATCTCAGAAGAATCCAAGGCTTGGCCTGACTGAGCTAGCCTCCAACACAGTTGCGAAGATGGTGAACATCACGCCCTGGTTTATGCCCAAAGTTCGGATTTCAGACAGTCTGAACAACTAACCGCCTTCGAACGCTGCCAAGGTCCTCTGAAGCTCATCACTGGTCCTGTTGAAGGAATGCGAAGAGATTCTCCTGGATGCAGCTGGGCAAACATTGTGCATGAGAGGAACGTTTGCAAGCTCGCACACCTCCAGAAAATTGATCCGCTGCGTGTGTCACTTTTCGTGATCGTTGGTCCCTGCAGGCTCGCATACACTGCGCGAGTCCACAGCATGCTGGAGGGGTGAACTGTCAGTAACTGTGCTGAAACACAGTCGTACGCCAACAGCCAATGGCGCATGATGGCACAACGAAATGACACACGTCTCCAAAGGTCGAGATCAAAATTCTTCAGCTGCTTGGTTGAATTCTCTCAAAACCAGCTGGCCATCATTAAGCAGTCATTTTTCCTGTGCTACAATTTTGCATAATGACTCCTGTCCCACGTCAAACCTCGCGTTTGAAATGGAGACCGGTATACCAGCCATGAGCCTGCTCCAAATAGGGAAACTGCTGCTATCAGAACACGAAATTTCGATTCAATCTTTGATCCAATCCAAGAAGATTGAAAAGTAGAAATGGCCAATTGGGAGAGGTAAAGGTATGCTCAATTGTAAGGAAAATGGTGCCAGTGGCCCCTTCGCCACCAAGTGCATGTCACTCCAAACCGGGCCCTGGTGATCGCAAGTCGCCCAGGTGTGGCCGCAATTCCCGCCCGCGAGCGCGCCGGGCGGCTGCGTCGCCGGCGATGTTCCCCCTGGGCAGAGCCGTTAGCCACCGGAGGCCCCCTTTCTGGCCATCCAGCCCCCCCTCGGGCGGCAAGGTGTCCGCTCGAGCGTCTCGCCTGCCGCGCGTCGTGGGCGCGAACTTCGCGAGCGGTGAGGAGGCGACGGACGTCGCTGTTACTGGGCCCCTAGAGCGTGGCCGCGTTACAGCCGCGGTGGACTAGCAAATTAGGGCGCCTGTGTCGAGCCGGAGTGGCTGCTGGGATGATCGCGGTCCATGGTTGACGCCGGGCCGTGTTAATGCCGTTTGGGTGCGCAGGGGCGCCCGTGGGCAGGCCGCTGCTGTGGGCAAGCTCGAGGTGCAAGAGGGGGAGGAGTGGGCTTGCCTGCAGAGGTGAGGGGGCGCGGGCGTCGGAGCGCGGTGCCCTGGCGGCGGGTCCGCATCTGCGAGCGTGGCCATTGAGCGCGGCTGATTGCCGCTGGGCTGGGATGCGCATGATCTCTGGCGGAATGCGTTGCGCGGTTTCCTTGGTGCCCTGGCTCGCGCTGGGGCGCCTGGCGCATGGACTGCCGATCGCTGCTGACAGATCCAGCTCTCCAGAGGCTTAGCGGATCCGAGATTCGACCAGGAAGGATCGCTTATTGTAACGGGCAAGGTCCACCAGGCACACACTGTGTCGAGTTGCCAGAAGCCATGCACTTCGAAACGGTGAAACCCTTGCGGGCGCTTAGTCCGGATCGGCCATAAAGGCAACCGGGTTATCTCTGTGAATGCCACACGCAGCAAAATGGTTCAACAGCTGTAGGGCACCCTGACGGTGTGTTGGTGGGGGTTTACTCGCAGTCGTCGGTTCGGCCGCTGTGGACGCCGTTCGGGAGACGGCCCAACGCGTGACGGAGGCCGTCGTACGCACCGTGAACGTGCTGCACGACGTGGTGTGGGTGCGGGGATGGGCGCGCGTCACAGTGTTGCTCGCCCTGCTGGTGGGCCTTGTGACCGCCGTCCTGAACACATGGTTGCTGGGGAGCGTCAACGCGAGGGTGCTGCCGGTGGTGACGGAGGAACTGGCTACTGTGCTGGAGAGGGAGGTGGGAATCTGTTTGGTGACAGTTCCTGAGAAATGGCATTGCGCTGCCCTTTACTTGCACACCGATGGCTTGGAGGATTCAATCCATGAAATTGATGCTAGAAATGTTGTTCATTCCACCGCGATAGGGGAGGGGCTGGATGCTGTTTCACAGTGTGCATGACCCAATGGACAGGCTGAACTCCTTTTGATTATCTCTGTCAGTATGGAAAACAATTCCCTTTGTGTGTTTGATCCTGATTGCTGTAATATGATGTTGGCAAACACGGGTGCTGTTGGCATCTGACCTGCCGGGGGTCCGTCCCCCAGAGTGCTAAAGCTGCTGTGCATCAGTGCTCATGCATTCACCATTGTGTGACTGCATTTGACTCTGATTGACGCAAGCAGCACTTGAAATTTTTGGAATGCTATCTGGGTGATGGTATCTAAAGCCACTCTTGGTCGAAGAGATTGTGCCATGTTCACATACCAGAGGACAAGGCAGTGTGATATAGAGAACCAGCGCCCCCCACTCAGAGAGCTGTCAGAGTTCGAAGCGCTTGCCATTGGGCAATGGCTGTTTGCAAGTCATGCAGCCTGCCGACAAGAGTAGCACCTCGTGCCGAATTGCTGAGCCATTGTCCGCACAGCTGCGATGTGGAATGTGTTGTATCTGATGCATGACCATTTACAGCATTGAGCAGATGGCAACTGATCACAATTGCTGGTGTTACATCATAAGGTGGCAGATAATTGTATGTGTGCATTATGTGGAGATGTTTGGGCGACTAGATCACAGCACTTGCATTGCTCACCACACATGCATATCAGGTGATATGGGTCAGGGCATTGCTGTCTTTTTTGGTGTAGAGTTCTGGCTGCTGTCAGCCTGCTAGCATCTACCTGAGAGTATGTGCAGCAGGCTTGAGATGTTGTGTTGTCTTCCCCTGTCTTCTCACTTGCCAGCTCTGTGATTGAGGGTGTCTTCTGCTATTGTTTGCTGGTAGGTGTACTTTGGAAAGGTGAAATGGCTCCTCCCCACTGGTATTTTTGGGCTTACTCCTTTGGCCAGCATTGGCCCTGTTCGTGTCGGGCCAGGAGCAGTGGAGAAGAGTAGTATTGAGGCAAGTACAGCCTTCTCACTATTGCTCTTTTGACCTGTCGGTTTTTTTGACCCACAATACAGGTATAATTGGCCAGATTGTGGCTGCGCGGATTACCCAGTGCAGAAGAGTCTGATCCCAGTCAATGCAAGAATATGATGAGAACTGCCGCCTTGTTCATGCACCTGGATATGCTCCATTGCATGCATCTAGAATAAAGTGATTCCTTTCTCCTGCCAAAGGAGATGCCGCACATTGATGTTGGGAACTCAGCATGGTACTGCCCTTGTGTGACCATTTACTGCTACACAAGGACACTTTCGGGGCAAAATGTGTGCGTGTGTGACAATGCTGCTGGCAAATGGGACTGCACGATTGCTGAGGCCACCTGTGTTTTTGAGTCACATTGACAGCTGGGCTGATGCATATGTGCCTTGCCATTATGTGATATATGCAGGTACCAGAGGTGCGCATGGGACTCAACTTGCTCAAGTCCATGTTTCAGAGACGTCTGGTGCTGTGGGCCAACTGCAGGCAGCCTGACGTCACTTTGGTGCAAGCAGACAACCTGTCATGGTTTGGGTACCCTCAGGACACAACACCTTCATCACAAAACCTGCTACCAGGCCTTGGCAAGGTGATGGTGATCTCTCTGCTCTCTAGCACTGCAAGGTGCAGGGAATCCGAGAACAAGCTTGCAGCAGGAGTTGTGCACGTTGTTGGTTGTTTGTAAATGTTCATTTCCTTTTGTCCTCTTCTAATCGTGTCGCTGACTGGCTGATTATGGTTGTGTTTGGTGCCAGCAGCAGGTTGGAGAGCTTGTTCGTAAGTTGCATAGGACACAGTGCCTTTGGCACGGTGTTCCCTGTTTGAAATCGTCACATTTGCTGTACTCAACTTGTGGAGACACCAGGGGACCCTGCCAACAGATTGGTGCGCCAGGGCAAGGCAGGTTGCTGTATGGTATCCGCAGTCTTGGCACTTCAGAAATAGGCTTGCAATGACACGCCTATTGTGTTGAATATGCAGCTGAAGCAGAGCACGGCCACAGGTCTCAGCCAGCAGCAATCAAGCAGCCAAGCCACACATGTGGCATCAATGTGCAGGGAAGCAACTGACGGCAATGAAGAAAGACTCAGGGAACGCAGGAGGAGTAGTTTACAATGCAGCACCAGTGAGCCGACAGCAGCTCCTGCCAAGGGACGCAGGTGTCTTTCCCCTGTGGACCTGGACAAGCTGCGTGGCTCATTTGACTTTGGGGAGTCCTCAGAACAGTGGGAAAAGATGTCAGAGTGGGAAAGAATGCCAGATTATGATGCGCTTGGAGAAGGAGGGCGGCCATTTGCTTGGAGTTCTCCAACATCACATGTTGAGCCCAGGGGTACCAACCCTAGATGGGCATTCACAGTGTCGGTGCCTCACTGGCAGCCCAAAGGTCCAACCAGCAATCTGCCAGGGGTGTCCAACATCAGGGGAGAACGGGCGCACCCTCTGCTCGGAGGGCAGGGATTTTGGGGTGGAGTGTACAAATCCAATGCAGACGTCCTGCCTGGTGGTCTAGGAGGACGGGGCCCTTCAAATCCGATGCGGGGAGGAGCTGGGGGTATGCAGACTGGGAAGCCGTCCAGGTACCTGAAACGCAAGCCCACAGAGACGTCCCATGGCCACATGGTGAAGCGCATTGGCAAGCTGGCGAAGGGCAGCGGGGCACACAGGCCGAAAATGGCGCCCAGGGTGCGATATCAAAGGCAGAAAGGGCTGGTGGGTGCCAACGAACAGGAAGGGGCCTCTGAGGACGCGAGTGCAGGCGCTTGGCAGGTTGCTGAAGATGGTCAGGAAGGCAAGTCTGTGGTGTTTTGCGCAAAGAAGAGTGCATGGCTTAGGGCCGTTGCTAGGCATTCCATGTCCGTGAAGGGCACTGTTGGTGCAGGCAAGACCAAGGCTGGGCGCCAACACATTGGAAGTGTGCAAGATGTACAGCACGATTCACAGTTGCCACCTTCAGCTTTCAACATCAATGATTTTCGTTTGGAAGATCCAGTGGATGAGAAGGAACAGCACGCGGCCTGGGTCACAGAAGTCTTTGGCGGCGGTGTTGAGGCCATGTATGAGGAAGAAGAAGATGAATTAGGAGATGTCCAGGAGGCTGAGCTTGCAGCAGCAGAAATGAACACCAGTGTTGCCGCAACCGTTGTAGAACAACGGCATGATATCCCCAGGAAACCATGGACTCCTTCCAAAGCGAGCTCCCGGTTTAGTGTGGACTGGGGAGCACTTGCAAGACACAACACACTGCCTGAGGTGGGTTTATCCCCGGCATCAGCATTAGGTGGGGCCATCAGCATCTATGCCACTCAGAGGTCTATGCACTCTGAGAACTGCCAATGCATCGACATCTTGAGAATGGTGAAACTTGGGAGGGGGTTGATGCATCTTATGACGCTTGTGCTTGGATTGTAACAGCCAAAAACTGAATAGGAAAGGTTATTTGAAAACTGCTCTTGCAAGTAGCTGGCTGCCTATTTGAGGCACCCCTTTGCTGAGAAATTGATGCACAAATCACCCATTGTCTGGTGTGCTGTGTTGAATCCGAGTGCAACTGAGACATGTGGGCTGTGGTGACTTTCTGCTCCATCAAGACGGTTGCAGAAGACTTCAGGCTAAGGCATGATGGATATAAAGTGGCTGATACCAAGTGGTGGCACTTTCACATTGTGGGTAGATGGATTGTTGACAAATTCTAGCCATGGCTTTTCGATCCAGGGTTCATGAGCACACTTGAAGGGCTTGATTTCTCGCCCACGAAACATCCCTGTGCTTTTGCTTCCATGATTATTGTGATGTTGCAAGGATCTTTGCTGATGCGTATTTCCTTCTGTGCCTTTAGGTCGCATTGGGTCACATGGCAGTGCAGAATGGAACTTTGAACGCCTTTATTGCTGGGGAATCCATCCCCCGGAGAATTGAGCATGTTGCAGGCACTGCCAGCTTTGGCCCTGGGTATCACTCAATGACAATAAACCTGCATGGCAAGGCTGAAATGAGGCACCCTGACTCTGCAAAGTGCACAATGCCGACGCCACACGCCTTCCGCCATCTCAGGTACTGTCTACAATTGCTTGTCAGGGGATTGTGGTGGGCAGGCCACTTGCTCTATTTTTGCCTTGAAGGCCCAAGGGCAGTTCTCTTTTGCTTTTGGCAAACATTGTCACTGGAATATGACACCACCAGTGTGCACAACACATGCGTGGCATATCAGGTCAAGTTGTCAAGTTCTGATGGCACTTTCGAGTTGCCTGCATTTGGGGGAGCAACTGGCAGGTTTGCACTGCTTTCATTGAATTGTATATTCCAGTGGAAGTGTTGCGTTTCACTCTAGACAGTCCTGACTGTTGTGGTGCTACGCAGGTTCATGATGCCAGAGCTACAGAAAGGCCTGCAGATCGTTTTCCCATCTGACATCACTGCCTCTGTCAGCCAGCCCACGAACACCCTAGCAGAGGCGAAGCGCACTCCAAGGCATTCCCTGGAGAGTTCCCCATCAAGGGCACTGCACAAAGTCTCTGGCTCTGTCATGGATGATGTGGCGCAGGGGACGGAGGCAGGCTCAGCGAGCAAGGATGGCAAATTGGGAGGCGCTGGTGTTGGGCCTCCTGGATCTATGTCACTGTACTCCACCATGCATGATGCACCCCAACGGACTGGGCCCTGGATTGCCCGACCAAAGGCTGTTCCCTTTGGCAGGCCGCAGAAGGGCACAAGGGATTTCCGCAGAGCCACAAGCCCAGACACTGGTGAGGCCATGTTTCTTTGTTAGTACTGTGCACTTCTTGGTACAAAGTTGGCTTGCATTGCAAATGTTGCATATCACCGACTTTTAACCTGTGAGGCGATGCTGGGTGCTGCCCACAGCGTGCTTTCTTTTTCAAAGCTGTATGTCCCTGCTCTGCCAAGCAGTCCCAGCATGGCTGGTGTGCCAGAAAAAGAAGAATATGCTCATGCTAGCATACCATGTCTATGCGTGGGAATCACCATGAACGTGGGTGCATATGGTATATTTGTTTGTGTGGAGTTTCTCTGTGTGTATATGGTTGGTATGCCAATCTTTGCAGACATATATTTTGTCCCACTTGCATTCGTGGGCGCAATATTTGCAGGTGGCAATGACATTTGGTTTCTTCCATGTTCTTCTGCTTGTATTCCTGCTTTCATTTCCAAGTCTAGCTTCAAACTGCACACCAATATACAATTCATTCGTGACGTTTATGGGCAGGGGTAGCCAGGAAAGAGTGCCCCAACGTTAAGGGCAGGCTGACAAGTTGTCTGGGTCCTTGTACCAATTGACAGCTACTTCTGTGAGTTGCTACAAGTGTGTCTGCTCTGCTTACCAGTTGTTCTGGGTGTGGACGGCGTTTGGAGGCCCCTGTAGACAGCCAACAAACTAGCTCTGATCCCAGAGACATATCCCATCGCCAGCGTTTTGTTTTTCACCTTTCATGTAAGGATATGCTTTCGTTCTGCAACTTGGATTGCTCAACAAATCCAAGTCCATTAATTGCATTCATCCATGTTGTCAGAAGATACCCTGGCACATGAAAGGCATTACAGAGCTAGCGAGCATTCACAATCTATTACCCCAGAGTGCTCAAGTGGGCTTTTGACATTCACTCTTTTACCTGCTGCCCCCAGGTGGTGATGTGACTGTCAACATAACCGCCAAGCAGATGGGCAAGCCTGGTGTCTTCCCTGATCTTGAGGTGGTGGTCGCTGGCAACAGACTGCATGCACCATTGCTTGAGCGCATAGTGGAGGTTCCTGTGGATGTCCACGATGGCCGGGCTGATGGCACCCTTTGCATAAAGTCGTACAATGATGCAACATGGAAAACCCCACAGCTGGAAGGCCGGGTAAAGTGCCAAGGTGGGGCATTGCTTTGAACAAACAGACAATACAGGAATCCTGCCACCCCCCACCCCCCACTCCAAACCCAGCCAATGGATTGGCAGTGGAACTAATGTGGACATCAGTGCTTGTGGCGATGGCAATGTGGGTGTCTTTGATACTGTGGAATTATGTGCAGGCATTGAGACTTGGACAAGGACGGTTCTGACCCTAGCTGGATTGGCCATTGGCCTGGCAGCTCACTTCTCAACACATTTTGAATCAGCAACGATGACACCTGCGCAATGTGTGGGTTTTGTTGCACTGTGGCTGGGATCTCTGTCCTACAAAGCTTCCTGTTGAACAGGTGGAGAATGCTGTTGCCATCAGGAGATGGGATTCCAAGTTATGAGCCTTTGGAGTTTTGCCAATAAGTGATGAACACGTTTTGTTGTATGCATTGTCGGTACAGAAATCTTGGAGTTGTATGGAGAACATGCAGCAGAGCTTTTCAGCTGTAAAGTGTTCTGGACACAGTTTGTTGCGATCTGTCACTTGAACCCTTGCACAACTGAAAGGCAACATTCCTTTACCACAGGCCTGGCGTTCCACTTTTGGGATGCTCCTGATGACCTCAGCGATGCAGACGTCGACTTGATTTTTGAGAAGAACCGAATGTATGTGCACAACGCTCATGGGTACTATGGGGCTGTGCCACTGACAGTCACTGGTGAGCACCTCCATTTTCAACCTCACTTTCCATCTCTTCTCAGATGCATACTGCATGCTTTGGGCATTAGTTGCAGATCATGAAATCTTGTCATGGTCCAAGCAATGGCCACCCCTGTGGAGTGCAACGTAGCCTGCTCGTTGCAATGGCAGCGAATTGTCAGATGTGATAATATTGATCCAGGTTGGATTGGTGCTAGTTGTGGCTGGTGCTGTTACAGGGGATATGGATATTGACCCTGACGTGGGCCAATATCGCCTATCCGCCACTGTCCTCCCTGTGGAAGTCAATGCTGTGCGAGTGAGCCTCGGCATCCGGCCACTTCCTCATTCTGCTGTTGGAGCTGTTCGAGGGATCGTGCACTGCAATGGGCCCCTCCAGAAACCCGTCTTTTCAGGTGAATTCAAGTTCGAGCCTGGAAGGCTTGATTTGGTGCTTCTGTCAGGGTTCAGAAAGAATGCTTGCACTTACCATGACCCTGATGTGACTCCTGGTGTTCTGACATCCAGTGATGAAATGACGATGAATTGAAACGGCCAGGTTTTGGCGAATTCCTCAATCATTGCCTTTGCCAAGATTGCAAGATGTCTGGCAACAATGTGTATTTTGTCGAAGCGCTGCATTGTGAAGGTTATCCCGTTAGACTTGTGCCCCCCTGACAGTGCTTTGTGCATTTGGCATGAGACAAAAATGAAGAGAATCGAGCTCATACAGCAGGTGGCCAGTATGGTCCATGTCGCTCGAAACTGCTTGAAGCAGGGCATTGCCAAACCTTCAGCAAATGCAGTTATGTCAAGTTGTGCATTGTGAGACTGCTGCTGTCCAGCTGACAGCTGTTCATCGGCATGCTGTACCAGGCAGTGGGATCGCAGTTCGCCCCACAGATGAGGTCATCAACGCCATGGAAGAGTCGCACGCCAAGTCTGCACTGTTATCAGACCCGAGGGCTGTGGCTGCTTTTGACAAAGTTCCCTTCACCCGCGCCTCTGTTGTGTTCACGCACAATACGGAAACTGCCATGTTCACTGTTCATGAGGGCCAGGTGTCACCGGTGGGCGGTGGCACCCTTACAGGGTCTGGCCAGCTGTGGGTGGCGCCGCAGGCAGAGAAAGACCCCAGTGCCATACGTGTGCAGATGGAAGGGCATGGGCTCATGGCCACCGGGCTGGTCAAGCGGTATGTCCCAGAGGTATGGCACTTGGATATTTGGTGGCTCTGAGAACAGTCTGTGCTTTTTTGGGGTACTTTCTTTCTTCAGTCTTGATTTTCGGCATCGGAGCCAACGATGTCGTGAAGAGATGAGTGGCCACCCTGCCTTCAGGGAAATTGTGCGGGCTTTGTGCAACCTCAGAAAATACTGCAAGGCCATGTAAGCCTTGGAAGGGAATGTGCGCAAGGCATAGAATGTCAGAATCAGAAATCAGATGCGTGTCATGGATGAAATTAATGGCCTACATACACAGCTGGGGTTGGAAGTTTACGGGGCACACAGTGGTTAGTGCATGTTTGTGATGTTTGCTGTTGCTCAATGACGATATCCACGTCGACGGGCGGGCTGACCTCTGCTGATGATTGTCGACAAAATGGCTCAGCCCTGAGAGCACAGGCATGATAGATAGCTGTGTGTCGTCTAACTCTATTACGGCTGGGGACTGCCCAAATCCGCCAACATGTCTTATGGCCTGATGTGTCTGATTTTTGCTGCCTGTTCCACCTGGGAAAGAACCCCAAGGATTTGGCTGTGTTCCTCTGTTCATTGTTGATTGTTGCTCTGCACAACCGCTTTCCGATATATTTGTAAATCTTCTATTGAAGTGAAATAGAGTCAAAATGGATATCTGGAAAGACATCCCAATGGTTTTCCCCATTGTGTTTCTCCATTATGTGGCCTGTCAACTATCCTTTCACAGCTATCGCTTTGGTCACAGGCTGTCGAGCTTCCTGATGTGCTGAACAGTGGTGCTACAAGCGTGAAAGCGACCATGAAGGGGTCTCATGCAGCGCCACGGGTGCATGTGACATGGGAAGCCCCTGAAGTGCATGCCACTGGCAGTGTTGACATGTCCAGAGAATCTTGGAGAGCAACAGCACGAGCGCCCTCATTCGATGTGTCAGGCACACTGCACACAGAATTTGCCGATTTTGAGCTGACAAAAACGGCATACACCCAGGTACCTATTGAATCCACCAGAGCGATATGCATATTGTGCAATTGATTTGTTTCTGAGTTGGTTGGTTCGCTGTGCTGAGGAATGGTTTCTACTGGATTTCAGTTGTGCTTGTGTACACTTGTGTTGGATTTGCGATTTCAAGGAATGTGGCAAGAACTGTTGTTCATCAACTTTCAGGTAGATGGCTTGTTGACGTTGGGCCCAGCTGGCAGCTGTTAATTTGCTTGCATTAGAGTATGTCGATGTTTGGGGAGGGCTTCAGTTGCTAGTACTGTCATTGACTGCTGGTGCAGTTGTGCTTGTGTTGGATGGGAACACAACCTCCAAGAATCTGAGGCTGCTGGCGAGCAGATCACTGGTCTCTACTAGTGGCTTTGCAATGCACAAATGTGTATCCAAGCATTGTGTTAACTTGTGGGTTTCGCTCGAAATCTATGCATCGCGAGGTTTTGTTCTGCCGCGATCCTGAATGGCCCAATGGCCTGTACCTGCACAACCAAGCAGTGTCATGACTGCACTGCAGAAAGCAATGACAAACTTGACAACACCGGAGATCATTGGCGTCGATGCTGATGTGAACATGAAGGGATGCGATGTTGTGCCCTTGCTCTCAAATATGTCAGCAGTCGACCGCGTGACGACAGGCCAGGCCCTGAGGCTGAAGCTGAATGGGCAGACACAGATTTCAGCCAGGAGAGATGCCCAAGGCACAGGGGAAACTGCATCATCCGAAGAATCAGCATTTTCTGGTGACGTGCACCTCCAGGGTATCAGGGTCAATCAGCTCAACCTGGCACGTCAGCTCGCCGGCAGCTTGGAGTTTTCACCCTCCTCGCTGCACATACATGCAAAGGGCTTGCGTGCAGATGAGCAGCTGGATGTGGACTTGAATCTGCCAGACACCCTTCTAAATGGGGTGCGTTGTGTGTGCCTGCTCAGATTGTTTGCTATTGCTGTTTGTTGCAATGTATTCTCTGGCCATCTTGCCATTGATCTCTTCATTGATCCCACTGGCCATCTTTCCATTGACCCAGTCATGTTATCCAACAATTGTTGCCCCATAGTGTTGCACAGAGCCTATCCTGAGAAATATGAGAGGCATAATTGAAGAACATCTCACCATCGATTGCTGCTCTGTGCTGCAGCATTGGATGCATTTGATCAGTCACTTGAAACTGTAAGACATTTCCTTTTGTCATGCTTTGGTGGTTCTTGTTTTTCTTGCTTCTTTGGTCTTGTGGCACATGTTGCATCACTTGCAGGAAGAACAGGTTTGGCAAAAATGAGTGCCTGTGAAAAGGTGACCAGTATGAAATTTCACCTTAGGAACACACAGTCAGTTGCGTGCAGCGAATTTGGGCGCGGAAGAGAGGCTGCTAAGAGACGTGCAAGCTCCTGATCCTGTTATCTTTGCTGCTGTGTTCAATTAATCTGCTTCTATTCTTTCCATGTCCAGCACACTGACTTTAAAAATGCGCACACACAGACGTGCCCAGACTGATGCTGTGCACTGCACTGTAGATATATGGACAGCTTTCTCAATCTTCTATGACCACATTGATGGTGTTTTGGCGACAGCAGGGTGGCCCGTTCTTCCAGAACGAAAAGCGACCTGAAGGGCTGCAGGCCCCGGCTGGCACTGTGGATGCCAATGCTGCCCCCACCGAAGAGGCTATGGAAGGTCAGGGAGGCTCATTCTTGCTGAGGCAAGGGAGACTGCTGATCTCAACAGAGGTGTGCTAGCATAAACTCGTTGCATCCTTATTGCGCAATGACAGATGCCGATGACTTGGTGATTGATTCCTTGGCTTGAATGCTTCGCTGGCTTTGTCAAGGTTGCAGCATGGCTGGCTCCACAATGTTGGGCTCATTTTCCAAGTGGCATGCTGACCTTGTGGGATTGATGGAATTACAAATTTGAAGTATGCAAGCTAAGTTGAGGCCAGTCAATTGTAGTGACAACATCATCCATGATTGGCTGTGGGGCACAGAACACATGTCTTGTGCAATTTACTCTGTTGGCACTTGATGGCGATTGCCGTGCTTTGGGTACCAGTATTTGGCTGGCACTGTACTCTGTGATCAGATGCATTGAGGACATAATGTGTGCTCGAACATGTTTTGATGGGCAGGCAAACACCTCCCCAAGCCGTGTGAAGATGCGGATACGTGGCTTGACTCTGGACGAACTGGAACTTGCATCGCTGAGGGGTGTTCTCCAGGATGTGTCGTTCGACCTTAACTTTGACACCATGGAGGGACGGGGCGATATACTTGTGAACACACCAAGGTATAGGGAATGTTGCAGATCTTTGACCAGAATACGAACTCCTGGAAGTATTTGCAGTCTTGAAGATTGAAGATATACCCTATTTCCCCTTCAGGTAGACACTACTTCGTACATTCCATGTTTGCAATGCTTTGGTTCATTGCCTTTGTGGACTTGGACAATTGTTATCCGGGCACCTGTGAGGCGATGAAGTGCGATGCCTGCGTCCATTGCGCACTGTTGCAAACTGGCCAAAAAAGCCATGTTTCAAAAGAGTTCAAAATTGGTCCTCTTGAATAATTCGCCTCTTGTTGTGTATTTTCCAAGTATGCCACCAAAGAATTTTGAGCACAAGTTGTTGCTGTGCTGCAGGTACAGCGGCCTCCTCGGCGAGTCCCTGTCGGGGGCTGTGCGCTGGGAGCAAGAGGTGCTCAGGCTTGAGAAGATGGTCCTACAGCAGAAGCGCTCGCGTTACGAGGTTCAGGGAGAGTACTCTCTGCCTCCCAACTTTGCCCTGCCAAGGGATGGTGCCTTTGCACCCAATGCGGGGTCCTCCACTCAGTGGTCCCCTGGCGAAGTATGGGCAGCCACAACGCGGAAGTCTTTAGGAAGGTGGAGGCTGCAGGTGCTGCCTTGTTTGTGTGAGCAGGTCTTGCATGGGCTCGTAAATGCGTAATGTGTATTCATCACAGATCAGATGAGAACAGATCTTTATGTTGTCACCTTGGTATGTTGGAGGCAAGGGAATGTGGCACTTACTGAGGCATGAAATGTACTGCGTTGGGGGGCAATCCTCTCGTTATTTTGTCAAACAGTTTATTTGATGCTGCCCTTTGCAGTTCCAAGCTAATATTGGGCAACTTGCTGTCCTGAGGTATTTTCATACTGGAAGGGATGTGTTGCAGATCTTTTCTGCTATGCTTGGTGCATGTGCTGGAGCATGAGCTCAGCGTGACTGGAAGACGATTTGTTGTAGAAGTTGTTCTGACGATGGTGGCAGACATCCAATTGACTCTGTGTTGTGCAATTTCCAGGTCATGGTACCCAATGCAGATGTGCAGGAGCTCTTGCCCGCAGGCCGGCTGCTGAGCCGAGCAACCAGTGTGACCCAGCAGGACTATGAGAAGGCAAAGGAAGCTTTCCTGGATGGCATGAAGTCGTACAACATTGGCAGCGGTGAGCTTATTGACCATCTGAAGGCAACACTCAGGGAAGCAGGCCCTGGAGATCAGGCAGGGCAACCTTCAGAGGTGAGTGCAACTGCATGAATCTCTGCCTCGTAAAAGCTCACTTGTTGTAGTTTTTCCTGTGTTGACAGCATGAGGAATGTCTGCCTCTCACAAAGCATGCCAGCATTAGGATATACTGATGCAAATGTTTGCTGGCCATTGCTGCCATTCATTGCTGCTCCATATGCACTCATGATGCTCCAGCAGTGCGTTGTTTTTTTATTTGTTGCATTTGCAATAGACGTGTGACAAAGCAAGGCACTTGCATCTGGAGAGGCAGGGGTAGGGATGTTCCAGCTGTGTCCGGGCATATCACACATGGAGACATGTGCATCACCTTGTGCAGCATGGGCTGAGGGTCTCACAAGAAAGTTCTTGCTCTGAATGGGATGCTCACTGTGTAGCTCATATCTTGCTCTGTTAACTGTGCAATGTGCCCTGGCGCAGGCTTCCAGTGGAGGTGCAGGTGCTGCTCTTCCAGGGCTCCAGACACTTCGAGGGCTGTGGAGTGGAGCTATACAGGCCTACGGGGGTGGAGGTGGCACAGACACCCTGAACTTCAACATTCGGGGGAACTCGTGGCAGTGGGGAGAGTATCTGATTGACCAGGTGCAGACATGAGCATCCGCTTTAAGCACACATGTGCCCCAACATGAACCACCACCCTTGCATCAGCAAGACTAATGGGTTTGGAGGTGCCTAATGTGATGGTTGTTTTTGTTGCCAATCAGTGCCAGAGACACTCTAGATTGTAAAGTATCCACCGATTGTTGGTAGATTCTCTGAACCGATGCACAGACTAGAAACTAACCCCTGATTGGGCCCCTGTGTTGCTGAGCGTTCAGTGCCTTGTTATGTTGTCCTGTGCACATTCACAAGGCTTTTTTTTTCTAGCACAGAATTTTGGACCTCTCCATACCCCTTAGTGCATATCGTTTCTTGATTTACCCTCCTATGTTCGACTGGGTTGCAATTCAGGGTGCTGCAAGTGGAAGCTACCGCAGCTCTGAGGGTGTTCACATTGATGAAGTTTCCATGCGCTCTGGGGAGGCACAGCTCCTCATCCGGGGCGACCTGCTGGGCCCAAAACAGGATGCAACAATACTCCTGAACGACTTTCCTGCAGCGATGCTGAGCCCTATGTACAAAGCCGTCCCTGCACTGCAGGTTAGTGTAGTGAATGGCAGGAAGAGCCTTCTTTAACCCAAGTGATTTGATCTCCATCCTGTGCCAGTGCACACGATGGTTGCTTCTATAAGTTGTACACATTGCAGAACTTCATCCCATGATGGGACCAGCGCTGTCTAGAGAATGGTGCAAAGTTTGTGAGCAAAACAATGTACTGCAGGTGCCACCCTTCATATTATTATCTACCTTGTTGTGCATGTGGTAACTTACGGCAGAACAACAAGGGATAGGTGGTGGCAAGATAGTTACTGAATATGTCGGCTGTTGTTCCGCACACTCAAGCTTCGCGTGCAAGGTCCTGTACATGTGTGCTGATGTTGGCGTGCCCATTGTACGTCTGCAGCACGCTGCCCCTGCAGTGTCTGATCGGAGCCTCATTCTGAAACGGCTGGTTGAGAGATGGGAGGGGGTGGCGCAATCTGTTGGGATAAGCAATGGAAAAGAAGACACAGCTGCAACTCAGCTGGCAAAAGGTGAGGTTCCACGTTTATATTTGGACAGGCAGAATGATGGAGTGGCAGTTCGAGGCTTGATTCTGGCTGCAGTGTTTGCCATCATTACCAAGCTGTCGAATGTGTTTTGTGGCAATAACATCTTTTTGGGCTTAGGGGTGTCGAGATTTGTGTGAGAGAGTATGCATCAGTGCATCAGTGCATCATGACATTCAAATTCTTGTGGATTATGAATCTTCTTCAGGGATTATGTCTCTAGTAGGGAAGAAAGACTTACAGTGCTTGTAGAGCCTGGCAAGCTGGGTCTGGAATATTGGACTTGTGGGTGTGAACTGCACCCTATACCTGCATGCAAGTACTGTCGTACTGTCTAGAAACAGCAGGTTTGCTGTAGGAACAGAAACCTGACATGAGCCTGATCCTTGACCATTCACAGTGGAGCTAATCATTTGAGTTTCAGCTGCCTACGCCACTGTCTATACAGTGGCAGATTCAGTTTTTGTGCATTCCACACTGATAGCAGTTGTGCATCAGTGTAAGACACTGTCCTTGCACCTGCAGACGATTTCAGGCACATTCTTTGATGTGTTAACATTGGTAATGGAGGCTTGTCCAGTGTTCTGCTCCAAGCTCCCCTTGCATCGTCCTTGTGTCTGACTACCCATCCTACATCATCCCCTGCAGTGTGCCAAATTGCTGGTTTATCGCTTTCACACAAATGATCCTGAGGACTAAACCATGTGCACAGCCCACGTTGCTAACGTTTTGTGTATTCCCTCTGCACACACCAGGCAGTCCTGTGAAGGGGCTATTGTATGTGCGGGGCAGCGTTGGTGGAAGTGTGAGTTCTCCTGAGGGGGTCCTGAGCATCCGCCTGTATGATGGTGCTGTGGGTCCCACGCAGCTGTCAAGCGCTGAAGCCTATCTCAAGGTGGATGAAAAGCGGCAAGTGACGCTGAAGCTGGAGGCTGTGCCATCTGAGCAAAGGGGTATGCTGAAGGTTGAGGGGACTCTGCCGTCGTTCCAGGAGGTGAGAACCTTATGCATTTGTGGGAAATTGGGGGTAAATGTACCTCTTGGGCTGGGAGACAACGTACCAGTCTTACTTTAGATATCTGGGTGACACGTGTGCTGAAATGTGCTGAAATGTGCAAGTGGTTGGGACAATGGAGAGGTTCATTGTCGACCGGTTGTCTGTGCCAAGTGTGCTTTGCCTACAGACGAAATCCACATTGATTCCATTCGTCTAAATGGATATCTATCATTGCCACACAGCTAACAGGCGACATTGGGTGTGCAGTTCTACTTTGGGTGCATAGTTTTGAAGCTAGTTTTGTATTCAGGGCGACGACTTGGATGTCCTCATCACCGTACGGGATGGTGGCATGCAGCTTTTGTCTGCCATCATCCCCGAGTACCAGTGGGTTGGCGGGTCTGCAATGATCAACATGCATGTGCATGGGAGTGTGTCCAAGCCTCACATTGAAGGAGGAGCCCGGGTCTCCAGGGCTACGCTGAACATGCCAACAGTGAAATATCCCTTGAACAATGTGTCTGCTGTGGTAGCCATGGATGAGAACAGGGTTGCTGTCAAGCATTTTGAGGCCAGGTCAGGAAGAAGGGGCCACATCAAGATCCGTGGGAGTTTGCCCATGAGGAAACCCAAAATGGTAATGTTCAGTTCAGAATTTGTCAACTGTTGGATCATCTTGTAGACTATGTTTGTTGTTGCTTGGCCATTATGAGCCTTATGGATGCAGATGCATTGCGTAATTGTCCCTGTAATTCTCACATTGGCAGCGTAGGAAACGTTGTCTGGGTGGAACACAGCCCTGAGCCATGTGCAGTTGTGTACTGATCGTTCTTTCTTGACACAATGCTTTTCACAGTGAGCTTTTGGCCTCATGGGCAAGGGGATATGCTCAATGTGCGACCTGACATTGTCTTTTGCTACAATCAATCACCATGGTGCTGCAAGCCACTCTGGGTGGCATCATCCGCATTGTGGTAGGCAATACTGGACATCGCCTTTTAGGAGCAACGCCAGTGAAGTCTTTGACAAAACATAGCAGCCAGAATTCGCATTGTTTGCACTATTTACCAGCCATTGGTGGATACTGCAGACAGATTTTGTGCAGTTTATGCAATTTCTGGGAGCAAACAGTTCGCAATTGCTCAACATGGTCTTGTGGATGTGAGGGGGTTGTTTGGCAGGTGAGACGAACTGAATCAGTGAGGCATTCCAAGCTTCAGCACAAAACAACAGAGCCATTCTGTTCTTTTGGGGTGGCTTCCTCTCTGATTCATGAGGTGTGGCCCTCTGACAATCTCACCACTGTGCTCTCCAGCAATCCGATGATGCCATGAATGTGGAGCTGTCCAGCCTGGAGCTGAGACTGCGAAACTTGTACAGTGGCCGATTGGACAGCAGCCTCACTGTCTCAAACAGCCTTGCACAGCCACTCGTCTCTGGTGACCTACAGCTGTCCAGGGGAACTGCATACCTTCCTGCAGGATCCAATTCGCCTTCCTTGGCTGGAAACGGTGGTTCAGAACCCTCCCAACGCAGCAGGCCAGCAGCAGAGGCATTTAAGTCGCTCGGCAAAAGTGGGATGGAGGCAAGACTGGAACCGCAGGTAGCCAACCTTGCGGAGAGCGACTCATTGTTGGAGCTCCACATTGGGGAGCTGCATGTTGTTGCATTGTCCCTGAGGAGTGCAGCTCTTGCTGTTATGCTGTTTCAGTATTATTGCATTCTATGTGGAGTATGTACCATGTTGCACAAAGTGTGTACAGATCTGTGTTGTTAAGGTGAAGATGGATGCATTTTCATGGATGTAAGCTTCGACATCGTAGCATCATTTGTCGCATAATCTGGAGCACCTGTGACTGGACCACAGCTTGCGCAGTATTTCTATCAGGTCACCGTCTTCTGTGTGTGGAAGTTCGTTAAAATACCCACACACTGCATGAAACAGGCTGTGTCCAATTCCGGACATGCTGTGAGGGACATGTTCATGAACGAAATGTCTTGCTCCAGGCTGGTGCTATGCCTGGGCTGCCAGGATCCATGGGCAGTGTGCACCTGAAGAACCTGAACGTCACGCTGGGGTCAGAGCTCCGGGCTGTTTACCCACTGGTGGTGAACTTGGCTCTATCGGGAAATGTGGAGTTAAATGGCCCGCTGGACCCTTCAGCCATCGTTGTCAATGGCACCGTGCAGCTCGATGGGGGGATGGTCAATCTGCTGGCGACCCAGCTGCGAGTGGAACGTGACCAACCGGGGAGGATCACGTTTGTACCAGAACAGGGTCTAGACCCCACACTGGACCTCACGCTGACGGCAGGGGAGTTCAAGGCTGTCATGCAGGTGTAGCCCTGTCTCCTTTGTATGTCCTTTGTGTGTCCTTTGTGTGGTTGAGAGGATCGGCTGTGGATTGCCACAAGCCTCAGCATGTTGTGTATTGCAAGCTGTTCCAGGGACCTTCCCTGCTGGTGAACACTGACAACAGTCCAAATTTGCCCATGATGTGGCCACGAGCTCAATGTTCTGATGTTCTGGAAACTGTGTTGGAACTCCGTGAGGTCCTTTGGAAATGCAGTTCCTTGCATCTTGGAGGGCGTTGACGGGCAAACTAACATACAGAGCACTTGCTTTTTGCCCACTTCCCGATAACTCTGCAATCTGCACTTTGCAGAACAGCAAATGGCTGCCAAGAGTGAATAAGAGAAGAAGTAGAGGTACAAGGCAATGTGTGTATTAGCGATGTTGTATTGACCCCTTCTTCCCCTTCTTTCCAGGGCCGGGCCAGCAACTGGCAGGATATGGTGGTCTTGAGCTATGTTGGCACTCGTTCGACGACTGGGGAGGGGACTGGTCAAGTCCAGCTGACAGAGGCGTCCAGGCTTTTCCAGGAGCAGCTGGCATCGGCACTGGTTGCAGACAACGGCCAGCTGGCGTTCTCAAACCTGGCGGCTTCCACAGTATCCACTTTCTCACCAAAATTGGACACACAGGGGCAAATTGGAGCTGCCAGGTGGTTGAAACTACAACATGCGACGAGCTGCTGAACGACAGCCCTTGTGTGTCTTGTAGCCAGTGTGATTACTATGATCTGTGCTTCTGCAAGAAATAACGAGTCAAAGAAGTGCTCGGCACTGAGTCTGTTGTCTTGTGCCTGACTGTTCAGCCGGAATAGCTGGTTATCCTGGTTCTTATTGTACATTGAATGCAAGAAAGTTGGTACGCAAAATGGCCAGACGCAATGCTCATCCAAAGCGATCCACTGTGGTTGTGGTTGGTGTTTTGTTCCTTTACCTTCATCTTCTCACCCTTACACAGATGACATCAATAGGGTGCTGAAGAGGATCGTTATCTTGTGCAAGATTCCTATCACCTGGTGCTTTGACATCACAAGTCTTTTCGCCTATAGTACTGTTGAAAACAGCAAGGCTTGTGTGCACTATAGAGGAAAGATTGTTTCTCACCGGCTTCTTGCTGAAGGAAACACAGCGCAGACTACTTCTCTATAGGTGCCTGTGCGAATGATGATGTGGAGGATTGCTTGAATGTCACGTAGATGGTGAGAGTGTGGTGTTCGTTTGTCAAGTAGATTTCAGTAGAATTTCCCTAAGGCGTGGTCTTGTTGTTGAAGGTGGCGCCTTGTGTCTGCTCCCTCGTTCCCCGACATGCTGTCCCTTCTGGATCCAACAGTGGACTGGCACAACTTGCTGACAAGTCTCATCACTGGCACGGAAGTGGAGGTGCAGTTTGGCAAGTCAGTGCAGGCCGTTGTGGCACACAAGCTGCGTGGTGCTGAGTATGGAACCCAATGGACGATGTTGTACAACTTGAACAACAACCTGCGAATGCAGCTGCAGGTGGCCAACTCCCCACCAGTGACACGCACACTGCTGCTGCAGTACTCAAGCGAGGGCGTGCCAAAATGATGAGAAAGCTTGGTTGGGATTTACTGTATCACGTTTTGCAGGCTGGGTGCCTGTTTGTATGGCTTCTTGTTCCGGCAGAATTGTTTTTGTTGGGGGTTTCTTCACAAGACCACAGGGAGGCAAGATTCACTTTGACTTCTTGAATTTCTTGAATAAGGGGATTCCGTCTTCTCATGGATTGAGAAGTGGGGCTCGCCAGCTTCGCTATTTGTTTGCGCACAACATCTGGTTAGTCTTTGCACCTGCCTGGTGAAACTCTGTGTGTGCCGCCGGCCAATGGCTAGACGGCACTGGAGCCTGGAGCATGCCACTTGTGGCTCTGCTCGTCTGTTCACTTGTATCAAATTCGCAAAGTGTGACAGCCTGGTGGCAGGTGTGAGAGCAAGCCCAGTTGCACGTTGGGCATACTGTCCCATCACATTTGCCACCATAACATTTGGCTGCGATTGTTGTGCTGCACTGACAGCAGAACTGTACTTCCCGTTTTTCAGAGCTGTGGGTGTGCCGACTGGGCGTCGCCCAGTGGGCGATCAAGGGATTGATCGGGGCTATCTGCTTGTCGGCCATGTAACGTGAAGTGTCTGGGTAGATTGTTGCCTATGCTGCCTCCGGAGTGCAAGAATCAGGGAATGGTCCGAGATTCTGCGCTGCAATCTGCTGCTTAGGAGCATTTCAAGCTCTTCTGTATGTTGTGACTGATTTCACAGCAGCCCCATGGCTCTGATGCACAGTGCTTGCGAAAGCAATCTAGAGCCACTTTCACCTCACTCGCGTAGCCTTCAGACTCCTGCGCACATGGGCCCGAGCTAGGAAACTAGTGTACATAGGATTTCATTCAACGAACGATTTGTTAAAGTACTAGGGTGTCGCTTGGGATGTGGGGGTGTCGTTTTGTCACGAACTGGTGCCGTGCACAGAATTGCAAGCGAGGATAGGCGTTGACCGACATGAATATTGCTGTGAACGTACCGCATTTGATTAGGTGTGACATTCTGTGTGATTCTGGAGTCCAGTGCCGTCCGAGGTCAATGCAAGTGTAAGAACGGAGAGCAATTGCGTTCGTCGCACTCCGCCCTCCGTGATTGCGTTTGAGTTCCAACCGTTTCCGTGAACGTGAGCTTGTGTGTGTGTGAGAGGCGAGAACCAACGGCCAATGCATCGCGCACGGATCCCGTTTGGTTGATCGATCGATTGAGGATGACGGGAAAATTGTAATCGGACCCGTGTAAGGAGCATTTCGCGTGAGACTTTTCTCTCACAAAAGGCCCCAGCAACGTAAGTCTGTGCAACAAAAGCTGATACAGAGCGGCACGTTATGTGTTGGGCCAGAGAAGCCCCATGGAGCTTCAGACTTTTCCAAACACAGGTGCCCAATATGCCCCTGTTCTAACAAAGCTTTACTCATTGCCATTGCTAAGCGTTGCGGGTACGCGTGGCAATGACGTGCCGCGACTGTGCTCCACGACAGTCTAGGGCAGCCAAGAAATTGGCGAACAGCTGCCAGAGGCGAAGTTCCCGCAGGTGTGTTGAACCGGAGCAGGACTTTGGCGGCACAGCTCGCTCTACGTCGACGCCCTCAGCCGCGAACAGCGCTCGCAAACCGCAGGAGCATCAGCGATGCGTGATCTGCACGGACTGTCGATATCTGATGTGGAGGCGACGGGCGTGGCCTTGGGCGAGGCTCGCGCAGTGTGGACCGCGTTGCAAGGGCTTGATTGTGGCCGGGAGGAGCCCGAGGTGGGCGCTGCAGTCCTGTCGGGCGGAAATCGCCTTGTTGGCAAGCGATGGGAACTTCACACCAACCACCTCTTCGGAATTGCGTCTATCATTGTGGCAGGCCACGCATCTTTGTGGCGCAGTTGATCCGAAGGAGGTCGCTTCATCGACCAGGGAAATGATCCCTCACACCGCCCACCGCTGTAAGGGACGGCGCTTCGCAGCGTGTTGGGAAATTGTTGTGTTGCTGGTTGGGAGTGTTGCGTTTTCGGGGCAGACTCGGGCTTCGGAGGAGGCGGAGGGTGCTGTGTGCACTTATGAGGGCGGAGAGAGGGGCTAATGTGGGTTGGGGGAAGGAGGTGGGCTTGCCGGGCCTCCGATGCACGTTTGGGGAATCCGAGGCACAAGCAAGGACTGTCTGCTGCAGTCGCAGCGCCATGGCTTGATGCATGGCGAGGACCGAGGAACTGAGGATGGTGGTGCTTTGGCCATGTTCTTTTTGGCCTCGCCGGGGCAGCTATCGTATGGAGGACAGCAGTGTGGATGCCCCATTGTCATAAAGCTCAACAAATCAGGAAACATAACACACATATGCAAGGAAGCAGCTGTCAGCTCCCTGTATTGCCCACAACAAGCAGAATTCATGATTCGTTAACTGAAAAAAAAAACTAGGTATTGCGCAATTGAAATCCATAGTCCATCTATTCTTTGTTAGCAAAAGTCATTTATTCAATTCTCTGCGGCCGTAGCTGCGAACGTCGCGCTTCATCTCCCTTTCTACACTCGCTTGCTTCATTCCTGCTGCTATATGTCACAAACTGTGCTATTTGTAATGGCACCGGTCGTTAGTCGACAGTGAATTTGGAGTCCCACGAACAACATCGCAGAGGCGCTCCTTGCACATTGATCCCCCCCCTCCTGCGCCACTGTGTTTTGGATGACACAAACATTTTGACGCCTGTTGTTGTGGGTTGCGGAGGTTTGGCGCTGTCTGTCGAAGGACATCTTGAAGCCCAGCCACACCTTCGCACTTCATCAGCTCCTGTTGAATGCTTGCTACGCAAATTGGGATCAAGGAGTGAAAGGGCCGCGCCCCGTTTGGGTGCCTGACCTGGAGTCTTCAGCATTCACAAATCTTGCGGCATTCATGAAGGATATGGAGGTCAGTTCTTGCTCTGCGTGCTTAGACCTTGGACTGAACATCGATGAATGTTGCTTGATATTCTCAAAATGAAAATTTTCAGCATCAAATTTTTGCTGGGAGTGGCCGTTTGCAAATCCAAGTGCACAGGTGCTTGTAATCCATCCAAATGGACATCCTTTGTGTTGATGGAATATTGACAGATTGAAATAATTTTTGCTGTGAGGGCACTGCAAGCTTGCGTTAGTAACTGATATTTAACGATTGAACGATTTTTATCATTTCAGGCCGTGGGTTTTGATGCTGGTTGGAGAGTTTGACCGTGAATGCTCCCAGAGCAATCCAAGTCGAAAATTGCGGTAATTTCCGTGTCAAAAGCCACGACAACTGAATGTTTATGTAGCAGCTGCATTACATTGTACACGCATTTTGGTACACTAGTAGGTGATATCCTGATACCCTATCTGGCTGTTATGATCAATTCTAAATAAGACATCAGCTGAACACTCTCCTGCAGCGGCTATTTCACGCATCTGGGCTGGTGCTCTACGGATACGACTGTGACGGCTGCAACGGACGTAGTAACTATAGCCAAACACGACTAATTCAGCTTTTAAAATTTTGCTGCTGAGTGATTTTTGATTTTGCCATGCTACCCGCTTGTCTGACGCATAGGCGGGTGTCTATCATCAAAATGACCACAATCCACAATACCGTGTATTCCATCTTGTGGGAATTCTGCACACTGTTAGTTCACGACGCCCAATTTATTTGCACGTGTCTTAGTCCGCACCGCCCTGATGCGTGTTCCTTGGACATGTTGTGCTGGTTGATGTGGTGGCACTCCATCTAATCCGTATCGACAGACTACGTAGAGACGTTCCTGTTATGTGCGAAGTATCGTAGACTGTGCTGCTCGCATGCATGGAGCTTGTCCGATGCATCCGGGATATTCTTCTCGAGGGTTGTTGGGCTAGTTCTTGGGTTTGGGGTGGGCATGGTGTAACTGGGCACGTCAGGCTACTTGAGCCTGTTTTGGAAAACATTTATTGTGCACTCCACCACACTGTTGTTGGCACAATAAAGCAGTTCCTGCAGATCCTTCCAACGACGTAGTGATTTGATCTAGGGATAGTGGGAAGGATGGGGTCAAGAGGACACTGGGAAGGAAGGGACCAGGTGGAGCGAGCTTGGGCTATAGTGGGTCGGATCCTTTCGGATTTGGAGTCGAGAGAGGGTGATTTGTGGCCTGCCAAAATGACGGATCTGCCAGAGGAACCTGGTCAGAAGCCCATCATGGCGGTTCAGAAGCAAGTGTTTCATGTGTGTGTCATAAGTTGTGCCATATCCCCATTATGTCGCTACCGTCCTGCTATGGCCATTTTCAGGAAGGAAAGGAAAGAAACGTCGTTGAAAGAATGCCAAAGGAAAGGAAAATGCGAAAAACATAAAAAGAGCATACTTATAGGTGGTGAGAGGTTGTGATGCTGTACATTCGGACAAGTAGAAGTGTGGAAATGCCGATGTTCACAATGCTGCATAGTTGCCACCGTGCTTGTGGGTGGAACACTTTCGAGTCCAGGAGCGAGGGTCATCACAACAGGCACATAGCTCACTGCGTGGGATAGCCCCAGCAAGCGACCACTCTTGAAAACATTAATAAAGAAGAAGGAAGAAAGCGAAGGGAAAACACAAGAAAGGATTTTCATTTTGTCTGCAGAGCCAAATGTCCTGGAATTTTCTTGTACGCTGGGACAGGCTTGGTTTTTGCGTTTACGTTTTCACATGCAAAACCTTCAATTTCGAAAGGAGCTACTTTACTGGCTATTTTTACGTTTTTACGGCTCGTTGGACACCCAGGTTACACGATGGAAGCTGCGTATAATGATCAGTCCACAACCATCTCCAGCACCCGCAACACAGTGTCCACCTCGCCCTCGACAAGGGCAATGACGGCATGGAACAAAAGCCCGTTTTCTACCCATTCCCCGCGCATCTGACTGCCACTCCCCGGGCTCCCCAAGTCCGTATACTATCCTTATGTATACGGGGCTGTATTTACGTATTTGCACGTTTGAAAACGTAAAAACTATTTTCAAGCGTACAACGTAACTACGATTTGTGTTTACGGTGTAAAGCCCAAGTGTGCGCTGGGATTTGAACTTCGCCCTTGTGGCTCAGCAATGGAACGCTGTAGGGCCACCACGTTTGAAGTGAGCCAACTTGTAGACAACCAAAGCCTTGTGTTGGGTAATTATCGCACATCCCAAAGGCCTTTTGGGCGCCTCGTTTTCTTTTTTTTGGTGCAACGATGACTGCAATGCTCTTATAGGAATACATGCTATTCAGCATCCATAGTCACCCCCGCACCTGGCCCCTTTCAACGTCCGCTGAGCAGCAAAAGCACGAAAATTGTAATAGTGCTGTATCTTGCGTTTGTTCAACAAGTATGCTGTAAGCGCACAGAGTATCTGTTCCATAGGTTTAACGGGATCTACCAGTGCCCCCCCACACGAGTTGACCTCCTTGTTGGCACATGCATGTCCGTTTTGGATGGCGCTGGCGACACCCCTCTAGAATGCACAGCCACCAGGAGCATGGAAAGCAATAGATGATTGTTGAGTCGACAGAGCGCATTCTGCAGGGTCTGTCGCCGCACGATTTTCTATTTTTTTTGCACCAATTGTATGCATTGCACCCAATACATGCAACGTGCTCTCTACAGTAGTTTCGCTCTGCCCTTTTGTGCAACTTGCCAACACAATTCCCAGGTTATTGTTTGTAGATTTGGGCACCAGCTGACGATTCTAAAATTGCCCAACTTGTGTCGATGCACCAATGACTGCACTGGTATTGAACATTGGCTTTGTTGCACCCAGTGGAGCAGTGGCAACCCGCTGCTGGATTACCCACTCTTGCAGCGCTTCTCTGTCGACAAACCTGGGATTTTTTGGGAGAAAATGCTGCGCCGTCTGCACATCAGGTTCCACACACAGCCGAGCAGGTGAGCACGGAATTCCACCATGTTTCTGCGGCCAAAGAGCAGCGATGTTTAGCTAGGAAGACAAGATACGCCTGCTGTTCTAAAGACCGTCAATCTATGGAAGAAGTGATCACTAAATGGTGCTTGGTGAACAGCAGCAATAGAACATGGTATTTGCCAACGAGTCCTGCTCTGAACTGCATGTCAGGGCTTCGAGGGAAGGAACGACATCGATGTCGATGGTTTTCAACTCACGCCCATAGACTGACTGTTGACGCTAGCCACATGCAGGTTCACTATGGATATGCAGATGGAATTAGTGACAGAAGCGGCGCTGTTTCCAAAACGTTAGTAAATTGCTTTTGCCGAACATTTGGAATCCTGAGCCATTGGTAATATGTGGCGCAACCCTCAGGAGGAGAGCTGTAGTGGCATGTTTTTGGGCCAAGCCCCTTCCCTCAACAACCTGGTGCCTGGAGAGCGAATTCTGTTGATTCCTTGCTGTTGTGCCTGTGGTGAATGTATTCCAGCAGTTGCGGATGTTCCAGTGTCCACCAGTAATTTCACGGTTGTGTTGCTTAATGGAGTCTTGCTTGCTTGCGAAAAGGATTCTGCTTTCTTCTCCCAACCCGGATGGATTCGTGTGGCTGCCAGGCTGCAAATTTAACATCGCAGAAAGTGCCCTGTCGCGTGGAGACCCCGACGCCCCGGCAATCACTTGGGCGAAGGTGTGTCCACCCCCGCTGTTTCACATCAGCGATTGTCTGTGTTCTGCTGTGTGCGAATTCTCCAGGAATATGATCTGTCTAACCTCTATTGTTATATTGTGTATGATTTGTGCGGTGTCAATTTAAGTACTGATGCATCACTGCGACATATGGCGCAACTACATGTGATGCAATTGGGCGTCGTAGTCTCGTGAACAACATTCTAGAGTGTTTGATGCCATTGAATGGTTTCACAGGAGCCCAACGCTTACCTGATCCAATCCCTTACCCTGCATCAACTTCGGAGGCAGTGCACTCGACTGGCGGCCGCGCTATCGCGAAGATTTCCGCCAGGTAGGTATTCGCATCATGCTGCTCTAATTTCAAAGTACAGTTGCCTGGGTGACAGTGAGGGCAAATGCGCTGCAGACTTTCTCAATTTGCTCACACCTTTGCAGTGATCACTATCAGCTACACGTGTTGACAATTTTTGGAGATTGCATGCTCGTCAATGCCACCTGAACATTGATGAGCAAGCATGGTTTCCTCTGGACCAACACAGCACATCCATATGATGCCTGCATCATATCCACAGATAAGACGTGCATTCAAGCTTCCATGGGACGCACGCTGGTTTTCTTGACTCCTACGCTGCCAATCAGCTTTCTGTGCACCGGGTTGGCTACGCAGGCAGCTCCATTGCAATCAACATGCCCATGACGGTGACGTCGGTGGTGGCGTATCTGGGCATCGTCCTGTCAGGTTGTGTGGTTGTCTCCATTGCGGACTCCTTCTCCCCGCCGGAGGTGGCTTCGCGGTTGAAAATCGCCGGAGCAGTGGCAATAATGACACAGGTGGGTGAAAGCATCCCATAACTTTCTATTTTTCTGACAGGTACATGGGCAGATAAGGTTTTGATGCATTCTTGCATGCAGATGCATACTATATACATGTGTTTTGATGGCACGTTGAAACGCTCCGTGCGTTGGTTATTGACCCTTTTGGACATGATTCTGGTATTGCATTCGAAAGGACGCTCGTCAGGACACGTCAAGTCTAGGCGTCGCCTGGTGGAACTGTGTCTGATTGAATTGCACGAAACAACGCTGCTCCACAATGGCGGTGCAATATGCACAATACCGCAGTTCGAAAATGTTCAATCGACAATCAGAGGTATTGCTTATTGCATTCCGTGTGGTTGCTTGTCTTTGGCACGAGTCTTTCTGCCTGCTGCAGGATGTTATTCTTCGAGGGGGCAAGACGTTTGCGCTCTTTTCTAGGGTGGTGGAGGCGAATGCCCCCATGGCCATCGTGTGCCCTGGACTGGGAGACAATTTGCAGGTGTGTAAGCGGTGCAGGTACAAGAGCTGGGCTGAACGCGCTGTGCATGCCGTGTGTGCTGGGCAGCATTTTCGCTTCAAGATCAGAAACTTGTTCACCCACCTCAGAGTTGTGTGTTACTTGGCATTCACGCATTTGAAATAGCGCATATCTGAGGAAAGAGGAAAGTTATCACACACACACACACACACCCGACCCTCAATGTGTGCACTGCAGTTCTGGTCGCAGTAGCCGCCATGCTTGTGTTAGTGTCCAGAGGCCCGGACCAGTAGTTGATACTCGTGCGAAGGCTAGCGGGAACGGAAATTCTTGACCAGCCGTGATGCTGCTGCAGGTTAATCTCAGAGAGGGCGACATGGAGTATTCTGAGTTCTTGGCCTCTGGTGGGCCGCTTGGGCAGTTTCAGCCGTACAGCGCTGATGGCTACGAAGCGACAAACATCTTGTTCTCTTCCGGTACAACGGTGCGTAGCTGTGCACTGTGCTTTTCTTGATGTTTGGTAGAAGACACTCCAGCCGATGTGCTTCATTGCTAGTGCTGCTGACGATCTGCCGTGGATACGAAGATGGCGTCATTTCACAGGGATGTTTGTGCGGTGCCGTGCAGGCGGGTGTGCCGTTACTTGAAAACGAACAGCATTACAAACGTGTATCATGTTGAATGGTGGCCTCCAACGGCAGAACACTGATCAGCAGTGTTATTGATTGTATTGCTAAAGTAGGGGGCAGGTGGCAAGTTTGTCCACTAGTTTCCCCAACACTTGTGGATCATGCGTTCGCGCCGTGGTGTCTTCTCACTCGGCTGCTGCTGTGCCTTCAGGGAGAGCCGAAGGCGATTCCGTACACACACCTGACCCCCATCCGATGTGCCGTCGACGGCTTTGCGCACCAGGACATTCGCCATCGCGACGTCGTGTGCTGGCCAACAAATCTGGGATGGATGATGGGACCCTGGCTGGTGTACGCGGCACTCCTCAACGGCGCAACGATTGCATTGTTCGAGGTCGGAATGGCACTGCGAATTACGAGCTCGGAAGGCACCAGGTCGCGCATGCTGTTTCAGTCGTGCTGGTCGTTCTTTGTACGATGTCCCATTGTGTGTTTGTTTGCTTTTTTTTTAATTCCAATGTATTACACGAGAATGTAAACTAAAGATCTCCCCCACAAAACGTAATGTCAAAGGACCCTTTTCCAGCAACAACCGATGCAGGGTCCAAAACAAGCAAAGAGGAGAAGAGACATGTATGTCCAATGGAGCCATAATGTTCCTGTGGGGGAGTCCCAAGTAGCAAAGAGAGAGTTTGTTTGCTTGTTTCTTCCTTACGTGGATGCGTCGACGTGACGTCACGGCATCGATCAAACGTAGAGTGAGCTCTACGGTGTCCCATCTTCGTTTTCATTGCAAATGTGGACGGTAATGGCAGGCCTGTTATTCGCGTTCAGTGCGCCAGATTCTTGTTCGTGCAAACGCGCGCCCTCGCAGTTTACCACGCGCCCGCTAGCATTGATAGGTATGCGTACGCAATCACGTGGCTGCACAATGCAAGAGGCTCCTCCTCCTCCTCCACCCCCGCTCCGCCCATGTCCCAACCACCCAACCAGCACCGCCTCGCCCTTTCAAAGTGTGATGATCTCGTCAAGTGTGTGGGATAATATAAAACTGAGTTCGAGTGCGTTCGTCCCCTTTTCTTGTTTTCTTATACGAGCGACCTCATCAAACGCCATCTGAAACGGACCGTTTCAAAATGGTGGCATGTTCACGCGTGACTGTAGGTCAGTTATATTCATACGTCTTGGAAGGCGTTCAGGCGTGAATGGGGGACAAAGGTGCCGTGAATGACGAATCTTGTCAGTGCGGAAGGTACAGGCCCATCACCGCCAGTAGTTTGTGCTTCCCTTGGCCAGGACTTCATCGCGCTTCTCTTGAACATCTTGGTTTTCAGCTTATTGATCTATTCTACAGTAACCGTCATATTCCCAGCACTGGTGAGAAAGGGGGCTGAAAACCAAGTTTGGATTTCTACTGCATTTCATGTTGCGATACTTTTGATGACATCTCCGCTAAATTTCAATCTGAACGCTTTTGCTGAATGTGCATTGTGCACGCACCCTCCCTTTTAACTGGATAGTGATCATTTGCTGGCAGCGTTACCCTTTCGTCTATTGGCGGCATGACTAACGGCATCTACACGATCACCTGGTTGATCTCATGAACAGCAGTAATGTCCGTTGCGGCAGCCCTGCAACATCGATTCATGCTTTTTCAATGCACTCGCATAGTTCTTCGCCACGCACTCGTCCGAAATGTGTCACTGTGCTTCAACTTTGCCTGCTCAACCTGCTCTGATGCATTGGGTGAACGATTTTGTGAACCAGGGGTCGCCTCTGGGGAGGGAGTTCTGCCAGTTTGTGTCTGCTGCCCGAGTTACTCAATTAGGAGTTGTGCCCAGCATTGTCAGGGCTTGGCGGGAGGGCGCAAGTGTCAAGGTGCAGTGTGTACTCTTGCAGAATCGCATTGCCCTGCATGATACAGCGCTTGCATACTGCAAAATATTGAACCCTTCTGCATTGTAACGTAACGCTTGCTCTTTTTTGCGGAGAAAATAATACTAATAATAACGCAACACTTGGCCTTTCTGTGCGGAGCAACGTAAAAAAATAGAAATAACGCTGTGAAAAACAAAATGCGGAGCAAAAAGCATAACGGTGAAATTTTCTGATGCGGAAGTGTTGAATAGTTCAAAGTATATGTTACTGACGATTCACGTCATCGGTTCGATGTCCTTGTCATTGCACTTGGATCTACTGGATCTTCTGGCTGTCGTGAAGGCCAATGTTCGGCAGCATCGCGAGAGGTGATAAGAGGTTGTGTGCTTCCTTTCTGAAAATGAAAGCCGTTCCAGAACATTTTGAATATGCAGGACTTTGCGATCGATCTTAGAGAACTGCTTTGCCTTCTTCAGTTTGTGTGCTGGCAGTTGTTTTTCAGACATTGTGGCGTCCCGGGGTTTTTGGCTGTACATCCAAGGCGCAGGACTAAACATTCAAAGTCCTGGAGGGAAAGTAGCCAAAACTGTGAACGTGTGTTTGGCGAACTTGGTATATTTCGAGTTGGAGAGACCAGCATAGCCACTTTCCACTTTTCATCCATCGCTGCAGATGAAATGCGTCGCGAAATTGCCTGCTCCCTTTCCTCTCAGCCAGCCAGTCCATAAGATACTCGCGGTACCGAGCAGTCAGTCAACGTAGCTACGGGAAACGCAGCGTGTCAGCAACTGTGGGGCCTGGCAGACGAGCTCTAGATGCGTATTTGTTGAGTGCAATCACAGCGGCAGAGAGTGGAGATGCTGAATAGAATGGATTGCATGCACAGGGCATTGACTGGGCATCCATCCGGTGCTTCAGCTCGACGGGGGAAGCTTCCACTCCCGAAGAATACCACTGGTTGATGGCTCAGGCAGGGTACAAGCCTGTAATCGAGTACTGTGGAGGTGGGCGAAAGAAGCCCGATCGCCGCGCTTCATGCAACTGCTTTTTGCTTGTCTGTGGCAGGAGGTTGGCGTGCCACGCGTGCCGCTGATACTGGCGATCGCACTCTGTCTTTGATTAGGTACTGAAATCGGTGGAGGCTTTTTGAGCGGCAGCCTGCTCCAGCCACAGTGCCCATCTACGTTTTCAACGCCGACACTGGGAGCAAGCATAGCCTTGATTCTCGATTCGGGGGCGCAGAGTTTGCATGGTGATCCAAGGCCAGCCACGGGGTAACGTGACACCCACAGAGAGTGACTTATTTGCAGGCCGGTTATCTGCAAAGCACATACATATATAGTACATATACCTGATTTGCACATCACCGGGATGCGCTGCTGTTCGCGCACGGATGCACTGGGAGTTTCTGAGGGGACTGAAGTTGCGCCATCCGAATTTGGGGACCTTGGCGGCAGGAGAGCTCTTGGCTTGTTTCGCCTTGCTGACGTTTGAAATCCTTGTCGCCACGATGTATTTGGATTGAGCGCTGCCGCGGCGCACCGTGACCATTTCCAATGTGTTTTGGGCAGCTCTTGTGCAGTGCTTGATCGGCCCGTTGGATTTCATATGTTTTGTGCCTGCTGTGCGCAGCGAACTGGCGCTGGTGCCGCCCATGCTTGGCAACTCTCAGAAGCTGCTGAATCGCGACCATTTTCTAGTGTACTATGATGGCATGCCCATGTTGGAGGGCACTTCGATGCCGCTGAGGAGGCACGGCGACGAGGTGGAGAGGCTGCCCGGCGGCTACTACTGTGCCCACGGGAGATGTGACGACACAATGAACTTGGGAGGAATCAAGGTGCGTGTTGCCTCTCATTTTGCACCAACATCTGCATGCTCTGTGTCCAGCATTCTCACCCTTGCAGCGGTGTTTCTCCGCTGGCAAGATCCTGGACAGTGCCTGAAATGATGTCGACTTCCTACTATTAGTAGGACAAATTAGTAATTTCTTGGTTGCTTTCCCTAATTGTTCCTCTGAAATCGAATCTTGCCAGGCACCCTTGTTGTGTCCAGTGTCTCTCCTCTGCGGCGGCGTTTCTGTGCAGGGAAGGTGCGAACAGTGTCCAAGTTGAAGTTGGTCTCTGACAATTCTGCCGTTTGTCTGGATTATGTTTGTTGTCTTGCCAGACACCAAACCGCCGATATCGCGTGAGGATCCACGAGCTAAAGTTGTACAGCAAATACCTTGTGTCTGCCATAAATGTTACACAATAGTATGGATTGCATACCATGCTTGGCGCGGCGCGTCCGGCTGCAACAATACATGGGAACAAGACTGCCTTGTGTTTTGCAAGTCATTGCAATGCGCCTGGGTTCCGCTAAGCAAGGTACACTGCTAATTGGAAGCATTGAGGTAAGCAGTGTACAAGGCCTCAGCGACGCCTGCATGGTTTGCAATGCTAGCCTGCACTTCAGTGTGTTCAGTTTGTAAAATAATCTCCCAAATCGGGTGTTCGCCTGTGCCAACAGGTGCAGTCAGTTCCAGCTTGTACCAGATTTCCCCGATTCGTGCATTCCTAATGTTCTGGCGGGACAAAATGGTTGAATTAGAGCCCACCCTGCCTCCTGTGCCGGGCGGTTCATCTGCGACAGGACACAATAGAGAGCCCTAGTCGCATCTTTGATGGATCGGGATCAGTCGTGCGTCCTGACCACGCGAGCAACGCGTAAATGCGTTGTTCCGTATGCTGCAGGACGCTGGCGAAAATGATGCGCGTTATGGATAAGACGTTCGAAGCTGAGCTGATCTCCGTGGGTTAGCCAGCTCCTTGGGCACGGGAGACACCAATCGGATATGTTCCTTGGAAATGTGCGCATGTTACAGAGAAGAATGTCGTTTTGGAAACCGTGCGCTGGAGCGCTCGTTCCATCAGCTAAGCGGCTGGCAGGCGCCTTCACAGTGCCGCTCCAGAGCTCGTGCTTGTGCCAATAGCGCGAACCTACTTGAGATCGATCACTTGTGGTGACTCACCTTAAGAACGAGCTGCTGTCCAGATGGATGTGCACCTTCCAGCATCAGAATTTTTGGCACCTGTTTGTGACTCAGGTGAGTTCCATTGAGTTGGAACGCGCTGTAATGGCCAACGTACAGCAGGTGAAGGAAGCTGCGGCTGTCGGGGTAACCCCTTCTGGCAGTGGGCCTCAGAAGTTGGTGCTGTTTTTGGTGCCGAAGGCCGCTGGGCATCAGCCCGGTGCATCGAAATTCAGGGAGCTGTGCCAGAAAGCTGTGCGCACAGAACTGAACCCCCTATTTAAGGTGCGTTGTCGGTGCGCCATTCTGCCATCAACCTTGTCGATAGTACGCTGCCTGTGGCAGAGCACATGGACTGCACGGCTGAAGTCAATCTGCTCCATTTGCAAAGTAGATGGCCACTTGCAGGACCAGTGTTGTCATTCGGCATTTTCCTCACGTTGAAGCATAATTTGGCTCATCAGTGCTGTTCGTTTTAGGTTGCGGACGTCGTGCTCTGCGAGTCATTGCCGCGAACGGCGTCCAACAAAATTATGAGGCGCCTTCTTCGAAGCCGCTACGGGAAAGGCCGCTCTCGGTTGTGAACTCGACAGCCTGGGCTATTGTAGGATCAGGAGCTCTCGCAATAATCTTCTGTCACCAGTGCTTGCCAGGGGCAGGCAGGACAGCACGGCTCACGATAGGCGGCGCAGTGTGTGATGGGTACAAGTCAATGTTTGGACATTTACATGGGGGCTGTGCGAACAATGATTATACCACACTAGCGAAAACGACTGTCTTAGTCAACCCAATCACGCATGAATTCATGTTGCTCTTAGGCTCAAAGCTGTGTGTCGCGGCGATGTCATGCGGCGCGAGTCCAAAAGCCGCGATTTATTGCGCCGACGCCACCCTAGACGGAGACTGGAACGAGAGTGGTATTTCGACCAGCTAGCTACCCAGCGCTGTGGTGTGGACTGTGGTTCCGCAAGCCCCCACACCCGCGGTCAGCCGCTGGCAACGACAAGCCAATTGTACCTGCACCGATCTTGCGCTCGTCGGGCGCGTGCCATGTTGTGTAATGGGATCTTGAGCAGAATTGCCAGCCAATTATGAATCGCTGTTCTAAGAAGCCTTTAGCTTTACGCCTTCGGACTCTTGGGACGTTTGGCAGATTCACGGGCGCCAGAACTTGCAAGGTGGCGCGTCTCCCGTAATCGCAAACACAAAATTAAGTCATGGCAAGCTTACGAGTGATTCAACGCTCGAAGTTCGCGGTCGAAAAGGAATTGCATGTCACCGAATCTATAACACTAAGTTCCCATGCAACATGCACAAGACTGAGGGTGCTATCGCGCTTGCAAGGCAAGCAGCATCGGTGCAGAAGCTGCCTCTGTATCGCAGATATTCACAACGATCGGGTCGACAAGGCTGCATGCACAGAAGTGCGATGCACGAAGCTGCACTGATTCGTGTGAGTATGGGTGTCGGGTGGTCCAAGTTCCTTCTGGTGTTGCAGCACCCCATGAGCAGAATCGCAGCAGAAAGGCGACATGCGGCGATTGCTCACAGAGCCACCCCGTCGGTTGGCGGTGGGTCACGTTCACGGCGGCGCCTGCAGCACCGCATCGAACACGGCTTTCACATGCGTTTGTGACAGTCCCATCGCTTTCGAGTTGTCATTGTCCGCAATATACACACCGCTTCCGTGTTGAACATGGCACCGCAATGTGCACGCAAGCACGAAGTCTCCGAGCATGCTTGCCGTCACGGAGTCGAGTGGAAACCACTAGTAAAAAACAGGCCTGATGACACAGTCCTGACACTGTCTGCTCAAAATCCAACTGTGTATACACAGTATGAAAGTACGTACTTTCGGCAAACGTGGTCCCAAAAGTACACAGTCAATATACACATTGACACAGCTTCAACAGTGCATCCTAGGAAACCTATTTTTTACTAGTGAACCTGGGAACGCCTCTCCGGTGGTCGATCTTCAGTGCCAGGCAAACCTGACAACGTTTGCCGACAATTCCCCGGCCGTGGTCCTTCATTTCCAGAGGCATCTCGTGCTTGCGCTGGACCTGGCTAATTTTTAATTTCTAAATTAATGAAGGATTTGCTGGACACGGCATTGCCGCCCGCACATGTTTGCTACATATCTTGACTTCCATTGGCTTACCGTAGCAGGATCTGTCTTGTGTTGGCACTGCCCGACTGATGAAGCCGAGAGACTCATTTTCACGACCGACAGATACGACATTCCACGCCCCTTTCGAATTTCGGACGGGAAGCTCTGCGGCCCTTCGGATGAAATGCAATTTATTTGTGACAACAATAATAATTATTACTTCCTCCGTCCCATATTAAATGTCCTCTACGAATTTGGCGCATCATTTCTCCATCACGTATTATGTTTTTTTTCAGTGAAATTTTGTCCAAAGCTGTACCTACCTTTTGAGAGTATGCGGTCAAAATTTGAAGTCAATTTGTTAAGTATTGATGATTTGGCAGTACTTTGTAGCAAGGGGCCTCTTGCCAGAAACCCATCGGTTTTTCAAAGATTTCGCGAAAACGGCCGTTTTCGCCTTTTCGAGGAGCATGCGTTCGCGGCGGCGAAACAGAGCCGCCCGTGCAAAACTATCCATGCCATTGAGACAGAAGATCGGCGTGGTGCTTGTGAGGAAGTGCGGCGATAGGAATCGCGTTCCGAAGGCCCTGATCGTGTAGCTCGCGGTAATTTAGAGCTGAAATTCAGTGCTGGGCTGGTGGACCGGAGCTAACTTCCGGCCCAAAATTTGGGGGGCCAGGACTTTTCGTCCCCTATTGGTGTTGTGAAAACAATAGAGAGTGACTCTGAAACCCCCTGACAAGGTGGCAGAGAAGGTGAAGCCCAGCACCGCATTCAGCAGTGGCCGATTGTGGGAGTTGTTGTCAACGCGAAATTGGCAAAATTGAGTTGTTGTGGAATTTGAAATGGCCGGGCATAAGGCAAACGGCTAGATGGCTAACGCCATGTTTCTTTCATGAACGGAGACTAGCTAGATGGTGATGGATAGTGGACCGCACAAAAGAGGTGGTTGTTGGTGGCATCTCATGGATCGTGGGCCAAGCTGCCCGGGAAGGCCTCGATTCAAGGATCAATTGAGGAAAGATGCCCATGCCGAGCCACACAAATACCTTGGAGTGGTACGGCGCACAGGGCGCAGGCTTGAGCGCCCTGAACCTTGGCTTATTTAGTTGGTGGCAGGTCCTTTCATCTCGGATCTAGGGTCGCAGCGAATTCTGGCATCGTCGACGTTGCGACGATGGCCTTGGGCAACGGCGATCCAAATACCGCCAGGTGTGTTTGACCAGCGCTATTCCTCGCAAGGGATGCCACCCTTCACCGCGGCAGTGGAGAAGCCATCCCCTTGGTTGCCCGGGACGGGAGTCACCCCGAACCGTGCGGATATCCAGCGGAATTGGAATCGGCGCGCCCATTTTTTTTTCCGAATTCAAGGGCAATTTCGAGGGTGCCCTTCAAGGAGTGGGACTGACTTTTTTCCCTCAAAAATTGGTAGTTAGGGGTTTTGAGACCCAATCTTTCTGATTCTGAACTTGTTTTGTACTTTTGAAGCTGTCCTTGTAATGAATTTTGTACTTCAAATAGAGGACATTTAATATGGGACGGAGGAAGTATTTTAAATAAATTGGAAAGACGTCAGACAACGAGTGGGACTGGAGGGACACTGGGCGCTGCTGGGTGTCCCGGAGAAAAATGAACATGCTGGAGCTCAAGATGAAGTGACAGCACGTCATCATCAGAGACTTGCTGGCCAATTTGGCGTCCACTATTCTGATGTCGGCAATGGCTACTCTGAAAGGCCACGGAGTGACGGCACAGCAGTCTGCGAGATCGCCGCCTCTGCAACCGGATGGCCGGTGACGAATGTGCCCTTTGAAGATCGTGAAGCTGTTTATCGCTCCCTCAGTAAGTTGCAAATGCCGTCATGGGAGTGACCACTGGGCCAGCGCCAGCAAGACAATGGAAACTGATCGAAATGGGCTGTTTAAAGAGCTGCGTCAGCAATGGTGCCATGGCGAAGATCCGCTTGGGCTGCAATATCTTTTCCAGGTACAGTCCTTTTACCTATGAGGCGATTGTGCCTTTTGAGGCAGGCTGCATGTTGTAGTGAGTTCTCACACCGCCTTCAGGGATTCCTTCATCATCCATCAAAATATGGCACGGAATCTCACCAAGTTTTGCTGACAAGGGGTGCCCGTTGTATTATACAATCCTCTTTCTGAAAAGACGAATCATTCTTTGAGACGATCACATGCGTGCGCACATCCACTGTCTGTGTTTGCATCCCATTGGCTCATAACTTTCAATTGCAAACGCTGGGCACAACACTGGGCGTGTGCATATTGGAGTGCCTGCACATGGAGTTACATGAATTGAGGCGGGCAGCCGCTCTGCTGCAAGCAGTCATTCAACAGTAATGACATCAGTGTTTTCAACCATTACAGATTGAATTTGTAGAATTTCTTGTGGTTACAGAGAGACGTTGCAGTCCGATATACCACTAGCTAAGAGCGTTCAGTGCACTGACGCCTATCACCTCTATGAGCTCTCTTGACGCTCCCATGACCATCTCGCAAGACACAATCAGAAGTACGATTTCAGCAGCATTCTGAAGCCATTCTCCACCTGGTGCATGGTACTTCATCATTTACCCCGTTCTACCATTTCATGGCTCCACATTTGGCCTGCTCATGTGCATGGTCCAACACAAGATGCCTCAACTAATGCAGCCCCTGCAGGGCGCCGGCCATCAGGCCCTGGTCCCTCCAACGATCTCGTTCGCTAACCTGAAGGTTTTGATCGACAAGTCCCTCGTCCTGTCGATGATCTGTTCCATGATGCTCTGTGACGTGACTCCCATCACCACAGTCCGGGAGCGCGAATCCACCCTTGCATCCAACTTCTCATTCCTGATAAGATTCACGATCCATTTCTCAGCATCGTCCTCATCCATGCTCAGCTTCTGCGACATCGTTTTTATGTCTATGCACTGGTGTATTCTACAGTACGTCTCGAATATTGCCAGCCTCGCATTTTCCAGAAACTCATCTCTGGCTGCAGACAGAAAGTAGTCATTGTCCAAGATCTCGGAGCACTCCCCAAGCCGCTCCTGGGCCTCGTTGAAGTCGTACTTGACATACAGAGCCTCCAGGAACTGAGTGACAGGGTCTGAGTACTGATACGCCTCCTGCAATATTACTTTCACCAAATCCTTGAGGACTGACTTTCTCCTGCATAGGCAGCCACTCATTCAAGTTGGAAAAGCGCCCACAAACATAGTGGACAACACAAATGCGTCTTCTGCAGGAACATTATGGATATGCGGTCGGTCGCAAAATCACATCAACAAGCACATGAAATTGCATGACTTGTCTTTGAACCATGAAACCAAAGTAATACATTTTGCCCTGGAATGGCCCCTAAAGCACAACAATGCTAACGTCTGTGCCGATGGTCCATTGCACTGGTAACAATGCAAGTGGGGCACACAGCAATCATTTGGCAGACAGCAGACAAGAGGGGACATTGGTAATTGCAATGAATGGCCCTGACAGCCAATTCTGCACTTTACAGGGCGAATGGGGACTCAGAACATGTTGCAAAACAAATGAGACTGTCCTCTTTCTTAAGCGAACAGGTAAGAAACAGCTCCCTTTGGGGACGAAAGGCCACCAATTCCGGGTCGCAAAATGGATGGCAGCATTGAATGGGTGATGGGCATTTGGGGGGGCATCAGCTAAAACCACTGGACATGGCACATTCGAATACGCGGCACATGCCTCCCCTGCTCACAACACCTGACGAATCCAGGCACCTGTTCCCTAGGACAGGCTCCACGCACCTGTAGTTGATCACCACGGCCGCGCACAGGTACCTCAGGAGGTGCGGCGCGTTGGTCTGCATCGCGTTCAGGTACCGGTCCTCCTGCAGGAACACGTCTATGATGGCGTTCACGCCGTTCTTGTGGTTCCAGAACACGAAGAGCGCCCAGTGCATGAGCCACGTGCGCTGCTGCAGCGCCAGCGCCGGAGCCACGAAGCTCTGCCCGTCCATGGCCTCCCGCAGCTTGGCTAGGTCGTCGTTGGCGGCCTCGAAGTTCTGCAGCAGGATGTTGGACGCGAAGCGCCCCCACAGCGCGCTGAAACCCCGCTCCGGGCTGGCGCACAGCTGCCGGTAGCTCTGCAGCAGCTCGGCGCTCATCCCGTAGTTCCCGCACTGGAACTGGCACTGCGCGAATCTGAACAGCGCCTCGATCTGCTCGGGTCCGATCTGGTACTGCTCCTGCAGGAAGCGAAGGTTGAGGGCCTTGTCCAGGCGCAGCGTGCGGACATTGTTGGGGTCGGACAGAAAGTGGATGATCGGCCTGGCCTCCTTCTCCAGCCGCCGCAGGTCGCGCACGACCTCCGCCCTCCGGGCCATCATCTCGGGCGGCACCTCGTCCGTGTCGTTCAGGTTCTTGTAGATGTCCATCGCGAAGTCCACCATGTTGGTGCGCTGCAGCAGCTCAATCTTGCCCTCCATGATCTCGCGCTCCGGGTACAGCGCTTTGCCCTGCAGGAACTCCAGCAGGGGGAAGACCAGGTGGCGGTCCAGGTAGGGCGCGATGCGCAGCGTCAGGTCGTGCTGCGCCATCGGGTGCGGTTGCGCTTCCGGCGTGTGCGCTGGCAACGCGGGCTGCAGGCGTCTGAGCTAGCGGACGGAGGACGGGTGAACCGGGGGGTGTGGGTCAGGTGTGGGTGCTGTTCGCCTGCGGCAATTTCTGGGCGACAACATTGGCACTGCCCACGCGAAAGGAAAGAAAGTCTGCTCCATTTGAGTAGACACTATCACACCGCACCGCACTGAAATTGGTCCTTGGGGTTTTGAGCCTCTTTGGAGACTGATCCTTGTTCCAGGAGTCTGTTCGCCGCACAACCGTGACTGCGCACGCCGGTCGTCCGCACCAAGGGCCAACTGTATTTGGCAACGGAGCCGCTGTGCTGTTGGCTCGAGTTAGGGCATAACGCCTGGCATTTAGGCAGGCCAATTATGCATCTTGGTAGTCGATCGGATGTTTGCAAACCGTGACTGACGATATAACTGCCAGGGGAAAATGCCCTACTATGCAGCCAGAGGGTTGTGCGTGTGTATGATACAGAGTGGCGCTGGTGCCCAGGTTGCAGAGCCAGCTCTTCTGCCGACACTCCACCACTGCATGCGACGCTTTTTGCAGTGAAGAGCACGTGTAAGGCGGCTGCACTGCTTCGATGACAGCATCCAACCAAACAAAGGCAGCCTCGATTACCCTCAAGGGGAATCGAGCGTACCGTGGAATACCGAAATAACGATATTGCACGAGCGGTATAGAGAAGCAGCCATCAGCAGTCCCATCTCACAGTTGAGATGAATAATCACTGGCCTATGCGGGCATGCACAGAACGCTAAACGTGCGCGCGCAGAGTGCATCCAATGAACATCTCAACAATATGCCACCCACGCCTTGTGTGTGACCACGACATTTCTCTCGCTCATTTTCATGCATCCACAATAATCACCGCCCCAATTAAGCCCATTTCCAGCCCATCCATCGCAGTACTCACCCCCCATTCCTCTCGAGAATCATATTCTAATACACATGGAAACAATCGGCTGCCGCCAGCAACGAAACAATCTCTACACCTAACATCCCCTGCAAAGGGAGCAACGGCTCAAAGCCTCGCTGGCGTGGCTGGCTGTGCAGTCATCGATGACGTAGCGAAACCCCGCGACTCTGCCTACCCCAAACAATGCATGTGTGCCTGTTGGCTCGCCCAGGTCACGTCTACCTGATGTACAGTCCCATCCTACTTGCAAGAAGCAGCTTGATCAGCGCCGTGCTTGAGCACACCGAAACACACCTGAGCTCCTCTCATATCAACAAACCAATGGAGATCATGGGCCCATTGCTCAGAGCACGGGAGAGCATGGCCCCCTGCCTCGCTCCCGTGGAACAGATATGAGCTATCTACCTGCTGCACACAGAGACAACAGCTTGTGATGTTGGAAAGAAATGTACACTATCCAGGCTGAACCAATCGCAGCATACAGCTTTGAGCATATCTCGATTAGCCACACACAAATCGACAGCAATCGCCTGTGTCGCCAGTTGTGGGCGCAAGTTCACGCATACGCAAGCTCTGACCATGATAGACATCAGGGCAGTCAACTGCCTCTACTTTTACCACCATGACACACACGATGGGGAATGTTTGGCCCTGTGAGCCACAACCGCATCAGAGGAGTGCCACAGTCAGGCACACAACTGGTACAGGCATTGGCCAGATGCCCAAAGCATTCTGCACTCCATAGCTTGCAAACTCTTAGCCTTCAGCGAGTTGGGCCGCAAAAATACTCATCCCGGTGCAGGTAGGTTGACACTGCCATTAGACTTGCCAAGCTGCCAGGCACCCCCAACTGGCTAACCGCCTTCCAGGGTTGCACAGTAGCCACTGTGTATCCAGAAGGACAAGACAGAAATCAAGAACTGCACAGGGAACATCCAACGATCACCAACAACAATCTACATCAAGTGTACATGCGACATCGCAGCTGAGTCATGAAGTACGTGTACTTGGTATCTCAAGTGGCATAGGATATGCCACACAAAGCACAACGTCGAACCACCTTACTCGCCTCTTGACTAGGCTTGCACAACCCCATTACCAGCCTTCGTCTTGGAGTCAACCAATCCCTTCGTATTGGTCATTTTCTTGCGTGCACCCACACCACCATTTGATGGTGGTTTGCCGCTTCCTTTGCCCATCTTCACTGACCCCTCTTTCTGCAACGTGTCCTTCCTGCCTTCTGCAATCTTGGGCTCTGCCTTAACGCTGAACTCCAAGGAGGGCGGAGGGATGCTGCTACTTTTAGCCATTGGTGCTATTGATGACTCGTGCTTGGTCTTGGTGCCAGGCTTTCGGCTGGCTTGCACGTCCAGTCCTTCACTCACCGGCTCCATGTCCTTTTTCTCCAGTGCTGCTTTTGACAATCGAATTGAAAATTATGTCAGACCAACATTGCAATATCTGTTGACAGGTTCGCAATGTGTGTGCAGCAGTGGTCTGCACTTCCAAGTGACTAATACAGCTGTCGAGACGCAATCTTGCTGCACACCAACCAGAACATCTGCGTAGACATGGTATTGCCCTGCAGCTTGTCAAGAGAAGCTGTGTACATAGTGACCAGTCCAAGCACTACCGGGCTCCCAATAACTTTGCAGCTCTAGACTGCACAATATTGTAGCAAATGGAACAAAGCTGCTGTTGCCAAGCGATGCAAGGATCCCTGTTCCATGGGAAGGAGGTACACCGACTTCTGGGGCTGTTGCACTGTGGTGTGGCAAGTCTTTGGCTCTTTTCAATGCTAAACCACTTCAAGGACAGCACTGCACTCACTACTGGGTTATGAGGAAGCGCTTTGGGCCTCGTTGCCAACAATGTGTGTTTCGAGACGGGGGGCCCCCTGGCATTGTGACTGACTTTTGTTCTAACTAGCGACAGCAGTTCCTAGCAAGAGAAGTACTTCATATTGCCACCACTCTCTTTCAGCATTTGTCTCTCCCAGCCGCAACACCGTGAGCCCTAGGATGTCCAAGCAGAGTGAAAGCAACAACTGCACACATGTCCAAATGGGCACCTGTGCATGTGCACCCATGGGCGCGCAAATGCTCTTGCACCACAATGCCGTTTTTAACGTCCTAACATATCATGTACTCACACTATGGCAACAGCAATGCCCCATACCTTCTGTCAGTAGCCGAAGAGCATCTTTCATGACTTGCCGCGACAGTAGGTGCTGCTCCTGCAGTTGGGCCTTCAGTTGCCTGTTTAGCAACTCCAGTTCCTGGTAAATGCAACAGGCGATGAGTGTCTTCTGATATACGAGAAATACGAGGCATACAGCCTGCACTGCTTGCAACAAGCGCAGCCCAACATCAAGGCATACGCCTGACATCCAAGTACATGTCATTCAGTTGAAAGCCGCCGCACAATGCCACAATGGAAACAGTACTGCAATCCCAATATTGCTGCAGTTCCAACACTGTGAAACGCACCCTGACTTGCTGTTCAGCTGCTCTCCTTGCAACGCTCTCGACCCTAAGCTCAGCCCGCAAGCGTGCAGACTCCTGACGGGCCACCTGAGCTGCCTAAACAGCACAAAAAGCTGAAGCCTGTGCGACAGTGCACTTCAAACATGGCCAGTATTCCACATCAAGGAGCAACCTCTATTTGAGGCTGCTGTTTCCCTGTTGCAAGTCCTCATTTCGATTTAAGTCAAACATAACGATTACTCTTGCATTCAGACATTGTCACGAAAGTCTTCTCGCCATTCTCTGCTCCTGTACTGGGCACCAAAACATTCAAAACACTACAGTTCAATGCATTCTCGCATCTGCGCAACGTGAGCCATACCTCCTGTGCTTCTTGCAGTTTCAGGGTAATTTTCTGAAGAGAAGATGCTGAGCTGACCAAGTGGCTCTCAATTTCTGTTGCCCACTGCAAAAGGCACTTCTCCCTTGTGGTCACATTCCCTCCAGAGATAACAGATGCACCCGGATGACCCTCCCTGCAGAAACAACAAAATCTTATATCGTGGTCCTGAGGGGGCAACCTTTCTCCATACTGCAGTGACCACAGGCAGTTGTTGTAACATCAAAATGACCAAGTTCAACACAGAATGAACATGAACATCAAATGACCATGTAAAGGTCACTTTTGGTTATTTTCAACCTTGGACAATCGATATTTTTGTGGATCATGGAAAAGGGGGGCACACAAGCACTGTGCTGGGTTTTGCCAATGACATTGCATAGATCTGTTTGATACCATAGAACACCAAACCAGGCGTCATTTTGGTATCAAATGTATTGTTCTGGCTCTGCATATTTTTGGGTGACACTATCGGAACCATTTTGGAATCACCTACTATAATTTGCTCTGCAGCCTGCCAGTGAGCACAGATTTGGGAAGGAGAAATGAGTCGGCCAAGTTTTGCAGCATGCACAGGAGCCTGCTGGCACCAGCTGCGCCCGTGGCGTGGGACCCAAGCGGCAACGGGGAACTCTGAGTGGATGGTAGACAGTCTGAATGCCAATGGTACTAAAGTGCCTGAGCAGATTGCCCATGGCTGGTATGCCGATGCACAACACAACATCTCATATTCACCATGCGTGTGCATGTACATCGCCATCTGTGGGAAGAGGAGCTGCGATGGCAGTCTTTACTGGGCTACTACCATGCACCTGTTGGAGTTCACAAGCATGGCATGGTAAGTCATTGATGCTCTTACCATTTCCCATGCAGCCGGTCAAGCTCTGTTGCCGTGTTCCTGCCACAGCTTCACAGCCATGTGCAGTTGACAGAATGCAATAAGAGGAATTCGGAATGCCCATACACTCACCAGTTGTCAAACACATCGATATCATCCTTGGCCATGCCCACTGCAAGGACACTGTTGTTGCCCCTTTGCCACATGCAGGCTTGGCCATTCTGGCCCATAACTGCGTACTTGTACTCGTACACATTGCCTGCAGGCAACTGCAGGGACACGTGCCACAGGTCGCCCTCGGACCATGCAAGGTCCACCCCATCCAGTATGGACCAATCGCCTGCAGAAACGGCCAAAGCAGACTGGGTTCAGTGCTTTTTCGCTTTTTCTTCGATTCCACCGTGCACTGCACGACGTCTTTGGACCCTATAGTGTGGAAAGAACTTTAAAAGATCTTCCGCTCTTTGCTTGACTGCAATGCACGCTGGGAGAATTCGGTATCGCTATTGCCAAGGGAAAAGAGTATCAAACATCAGTGCTGCGGCAGGGGGAGGCATAACGTCAATTGTGCCTGGACAGGCAACTGCCGTGACGTTCGCCGGATGCCACCTTCATCGCCATTCACCGTAAAGGGGTCCGAGGCATCTTGCTCAGGCTGGTGCCGCCAACTGTGTGAACTGTTTCTGCCCTGTGCAGCAGTCAATGCCACGATCCGCACACGACAGACCAACAGCCTGACTCGCAGCATCACCAGACCCCCGCTGGCAACGGGGCAACACACGGCCGGTCGCCGCCTCGCGCGCTTCCCAAGCCTTCAGCCTCACCCAGAGATTGGTGGGAGCCCACGACTCTCAGCCACTGGCCGTATTCCACATGAAACTGGATGGTGAACCGAACGTTGACGAGGTCCGCGTTCCTCCCAATCAGAGAGCTCGCCGCCTCCCTTCGTCGCGCTGCCAGGCTCGCGCCGCCGCTGCGGGGCACCATCGAGGCGGAGGAGGCGGCCTGCACCGGTCGCAGCGTCTCCTGATCGTTCCCTGGCGCCGTATGCCGATCCTCGGGTGTCTCCGTCTCTGTGGAAGTCGCGAGACCGTCTCCCTCTGGCCCCGGAGCCTGGACTTCAGGAGCGTCTCCGTACAGCGGCGACTGCGGCCTCCTGGGCCGCTGCCGCAGCCTCTGAGGCCCTGGCGCAGTCCAGTCGGTCCCAGGTCACGCGGGCGTTGCCGGGAAAGAAACATGGGATCGAACGTGAACGCAGGAAAGAGACATGACGTACAATGACCAAGGCTGTTCTGAGGGCTACAGACGACAGCGCGCCGGTCCCAAAGTGCAACGGGATGACGAGAGGCGATGAGTAGCGACAAAACTGTGGGGAGCGCGCGGTGGACACCGGGCACAGGAGGCGACCGGGCGGCTGTGCGGTGGACGCCCACGACGCTGGGCTGCAGGGCAGGTCCGCAGGCGCCGCGAAGGTGAGTGCGGTCGCAAATTCGGCCAGGCAGCAACGGGCAATCAGAGGCGTAGGCCCACCGACAATCCATGGGAAAGGACCTCACTTGTAATACCAGTGGCACTGCGCGCAAGTCCAGCCGTGTCGGAGACAAACAGTGAATTCAGAAGGGCTGCGGTGCTCTGGTGTCTGGCGCAACCTCCGCGTCACCTGCGGTCCACCCACCGGCACAGATCCGAGGATTTGCAAACCCTCCCTGCGGGTGTCTCCGACACGAAAAGAGGGGCCCAAGCAATGCTCGCGGTTGAGCACGCACCCAAGGATTGCAGCCCTCCCTGCCTGACTCCGACACGAACAAGACGGGCTCCTAACGCCGCAAATGTGCGCACACAAACGCAAGAGTCGCCCAGCACCATGCCACCAAGATGGGCGCACACTCCACATCTTCCAATGGCCCCAGAAAGAAGGCGGAGGCCACCGTGCGCACATTCGCCAACCACCAGGGCCGGGGCCCCGCAACGGGACCAGCGCGGCGGTGGCGCTCGCCCCAGGACAGCCTGTCACGGGCTCTTCGCCACCGCCACGTCCACCCCGTCGCGCATCCCCACATCGCCACCACCCTAATGCGCCCGCCCTCCCCCACCCCCCCTCCACCCCCATTCCGCGGCCAGCCGCCCCTGGCAGATCTCCCTTCGATCGACCACGCCGTGTCCGCCCCCCTCACCTTTGCCGTCCCCCCTGATCGCCGCAGCGCCGGCCTCCTCGGCCGCCCTCCGCCGCCCCACCGCCCGCCTGCCCCTGCCGCAGAAGTCCGCGCCCAGCACAGCGCGCACCGGCGGCCCGCGCCGGGGCCGCCGGGTCCTGGCCTGCAGGGGCACCATGGCCGCCGCGCGGCACACGCGCGCCACGATGGCCCTCCCCACCGCCTGGGATGCTGATGCGTGGACCCCAGAGGAACCCCCACCCGGCCCAGGCGCCGACCCCCTCAGTCGAGGGGACAGCAACGATTCCATGGGCCCCAAGCCTCGCCCTCCCACGCGCGCCCTTTCTCTTACGCGCAACCGGACGCGCAGACGGGAGCCCGGGGGTGGCAGGGTGCCCGTCTCGGAGCCCCGCACCCGCAAAAGGGGCCGAAATTTTCAAAGGCGTTGAGGGTGGGGATTGGGCGGAGCGGTGCCGTTGGCCGCGGGCTGACTGTGACTGACACGGGGTGCGCTGGCAGCGGCGGAGCGCGCCTGGGGCGAGGGCTGCAGCGCCCGTGGTCCACCGAAGGGTCACGTGACCACTTGGGAGCCAATAAGGAGGCGCGGGCGCGTCCACGTGGCGGTTGACGGGAAGGATCCGTGGCGCGTCCACGTGGCCGGCGGCCGGGGGGATCCCGTGGCAGCCACTAATCGCCCAGAATCCGCCAAGTGGGAATCATCGCCTTGGGAGTGACTGAGACAGAAACCAGAGGCCCAGCGACACAAGGCTGCGAGGGATTTCGTTCCGTCAACGCACTCAGAGGCGGGCGGGGGGTCGCGGGAACAAAGCTGCAAGCGACTGCCTCCCTGAACACGGCGAGGGCCGTGTAACGCCAGAACAGGGCCGGAAGCATCCGCTTCGGGGCCCGCCAAAATTCTCTGCCGCGGGCGCCCCGCCTGAGGGCCCTCTCCACACCACCCGCCCCCAACGGCGTCCTCTTCACGACGCCACATAACAACAGCCGGATCACCCGTTGGTGAAATGATATTACTGCCTGCACCAAATCGGTGACTGCTTGCACTGGGTCGCGTGCACACTAGGTCCTAGCCACAGTTTTAGGGCTGGGTTTATAGGCTGAGTTTGAGGATTAGGGTAGGTTTAGGTTTAGGTTAGGTTAGGTTTGGAGGGATTTGGTGCAAGCAGTCACCGATTTGGTGCAGCCTATTATTTTATGCCCCCGCTGGTTGGGTCCCACGTGTGCGCCCGCCCGCCCCGCTGCGCAAAAGCAAGCCCGTCAATTGTTTCTGCACGAGGCGGCTTGATCCCAGCCTCAATTCCCAAAAATGAAGGCGTTTCAGCGGGCTGGGACTACGTTACACGGGTAACGGGTAACGCTGGGCGGCGCTGCAGGCCCTCCTCGAGCAGCCAACAACCTCCCCCGCGCCACATCGGCTTCCACGTCACCCCCGCGTGTAGCCGCCCTCCTCTTGTCCTGGCTCTCGCGTCTGGGGCGGAGGCTTATCAGGCGTGCGGAACCCCTTGACGGCAAGGGCCCTGTGGACCACACGGTGCCAGCGCCCCCACCGCCAGGTGCCTCACTTTTGGGCGGCGCTCCAGGGCGGGGCTCGGCCCTCCGCGCGGCCCTTCGCCCCAGCCTCGCCAAATTTTCAGACCCCTGTGATGCGCTCCTCTCGCGGCGATGGCGAGCTGGACCTGTTCGGCGCCAACATCGAGGGCGCCCTGCTGGAGATCGTAATTGTCGCCATATGGCGGCTGCTGGCCTCTCTGGGCGCGCCCCTTGGGCGATTTTTGGCATTCTTCTTCTGGAGCGGGGGCTGCGTGGTCGGGATGGCACGCGGCTGCGTGCGGCTGCTCCGCCAGGCGGCAAGGTGGCTGTCGGCGTCGTGGCACACGCCGCGGGTGGCGGGCTGGGCGTCGTGGCAGCTCCGGAGGTGGCACGCGGCGTTCGGTGAGCTCGCTGGGAGGCCCGGAGGGCCGTTGGGGGGTGGAGGCGTTGTTTGGTATGGTGTTTGTGTGTGGGCGTGCGCGGGGAGCCCAAATTCGCAGTGGCGGGCGAGGCCCGCTCGAGCTCGCCCGGGGGGAGGGGGGTGCGGGGCCGCGCGGGCGGGGGGTTTGAGCTGTGGATTGGCAGAGGGCTGGAAATGGTGCCGTTTTTGACCGAAGAACGGCTTCGAGAGGGATTTTGACCGTCTGGTTGGCTTGGAGTCGAGTTTGTTGGCAATCTGCCTGGCTAAGTGACGCCCCTGAGCTGGGTTATGCGGCCCTGGAAGCGAATGGCGCGGTGGTGGCAGCGACCCCCGGGGGTGGGGGGTGGGGGGTGGGGAAGATGAATCCAAATGGCCGTCCGGCGACTGCGAGCGCCGTGTCAGCTTGCTGAGCGGGCACCCCCATGCGCCGCTGCGCAGGGGTGGTCCTCGTGGCCAGCGCCGTGATGGCCGTCCTGAGGCAGGCCCTTGAGAGGTTCGACGAGTCCATACGGCGCCGGCGCGCCGTGCTGGACAGGATGGCCGCGTCCGAGTCGTACGAAGAGTGGTCGAAGAACTCCCTGGAGCTGCGGTCGCTGGAGGACGCGGGCGGGGAGGAGGCCGCGTCCAAGCAGCAGGCCCGCCTGTACGCCAGCGGCCTCTTCCACACCAAGTGCGAGCACCTGAGGAGCGTGTACGCCACCGAGGACGCCAGGGAGGTCATGAACGTGCTGAGGGCGGACATGGTCAGGAGGCTGGGCAACATGACGCACAGGCAAGGCGCCGCGTCCCGCGCCCTGCCGCCGTCCTGTCGGGTTTGATTTCAGCGGCATGGGGACGGGATGGACGTTGCACCGCCCGGCCACTGGCGAACCCGGTCCCTGTCGATTGGATGTAAAGTTGTCTGTGGCATTGGCCATGCGCGTTTTGGGGCTGTGCTGCGTGTGGCTGCGAGCGCTGTTGTTGAAGGCAGCTGAGGATGGCAGCGCCCAGCCGCTGGCAAACCCTGCCTCTGTTGGCTGGATGCAGTCTGCCTGTGCAATCGGTGTGCGCCGTCTGGTGCTGTGCTGCGTTGCTCCTGAAGATGGGAGCCGAAGACGTCAGCAGAGCTGGGGAGGCAGGTAGTGCCTTGGCGCAGGCATTGTGTGAAACTGCTTGTGTCTGATGATCTGCCTGCTGCTGCCTGCAGTGAAATTTACCGCTATCCAGATGTGCCTGTGCCGATTCGAGATTACATCGACGAGGTTAAGAGGCACCTGAAATTCATCGTCGACGAATCCAAGTCGGATCTCGATTGGAAAGAGAAGCTGGGATTTCTCCAGGAGGCAAGACATACATTTGGGAGAACTGCCCTCTTGCTCAGTGGTGGAGGTGCTCTTGGTGCATTTCACCTGGTGAGGCGTCGATCGTGCAAGTGCATGTGCACCACTAGTGGCCAGTGGGTTGTGCTATGCCCATACAAATGAATGTGATAGGATAGCTGCCTGCTGTCCTTTCGCAAATGATCATTGTTCCTGGCCCCTTGAGTTTATTGTGCTTTGAGAGTTCATCCATGGTGGGTTTCTCTCTGCAAAATCGCGACCATGTGAAAGTGACGCTGTTTGCCATCTTGTTTTGTTGTGTGTGGCGGTGATAGACATTGGATGAGCACAAGGATTCCATACTGAATTGAACATAGGTGTACAGTGGCTTGACTTCACTGCAAGTTTGGCACAAATCTTGGTGTTAGAAGAGCCTTGGGAAGGCTTGTCATTAGTTTACACTCTGCCAAGTTGATTGATTTCCTCCAAGAATGCTGGTCCAGTGCATGCAGGATAGTTTTGCACACAATAAACACCCAGTTGCCAGATTACCCGATCGTTTGCTTGAATGTGTGAACGGTGTGTCCTGCAGGGTGTGGTGAAAGCACTGCTGGAAAACAAGTTGCTACCCAGGATTGTCGGTGGCAGCAGTGTTGGATCCATTGGTGAGTATGGTTGGCTGGCTCTCAGAGTAGATTATGTTCGCTTTTTGGCCTCCTGCTCCAGCTGTTGTTTACAACACAACTGCTCTTTCTCTGATTCTGTTCTTTGTGCTGGGCAGGCTACACACCTATTGCCTGTTGTCCACATGGTTGATGCGGCTATGCACCGCATGCATTTGTTGCCTAATTATCTCAGCACTGGGGTGTGCTGGCTGTCTGGCAAGGAAAAGCGCAAAAAGCTCTGTAAACACAAGGCCATGTCACACACCACGTGCTGTTCCAGGTCGCTCATATGCATGATGTGCGCTTGTGCTGCAACACATGTGTTTCTGAGGACAGCTGTGTTTCCAACTCTTGTAGTGGCCTCAATTGTGGGAACACATACCGATGAACAGCTCTCCCATTTGCTTGAGCACTTGGACAAGCTGGACATGAATTTGTTCAACAACTCCACAATCCGGCAGTTCCTGGCACAGTTGCTTGCCAAAGGCACCCTTCATGATGAGCTCTACTTGCAGGCGAAGCTGAAGGAGTTGCTTGGGGATCTGACTTTTCTGGATGCCTATGAAAACTCAGGTGACCAAGGGACGGTTTGGGACTGGCATCTGTGGCATAGTAATTATGTTCATGGCCGTTTCTTGCACTTGAAAACTTGCCAGCTGGCTTGCGACAAAATGGATTGAATTCTGCTGCTATCCAACAACCTCAGCTGCTGACTGTATCTGTAGTTAGTGTATTCGGGTATGGATCCCCTGGCACCTGCTGCCTGACCTTGGGCTACCTTTATTGACACAGTTTGGTATGTTGTCTAACAGATGTGTGTCGTTCCATTAATTTTTATGTAGGGCGCGTGCTGAATGTTGTGGTGTGCGCTGCTGACACCAACGAGCCACCACGTGTGCTGAACTACCTGTCAGCGCCTCAGGTGTTGGTGTGGAGTGCAGTGGCAGCTTCGTCTGCCTTCCCTGGCCTGTACCCTGCCCAGGACATTAAGGCCAGAAATGGCAGAGGCGAATATGTCAGCTTTTCTCTGCAGGTGTGTGCTTGCCAGTTGCACACGCTGCACAAAGTCGTTGCACAGGTCGCACAGGTCGTTTATTGCACAGATGACTTCAGTACCACATGGACTGTGCGATGCCTTGTGTTTCATCCATTCATGCAGCTGGTTGACATGTTTGCGGCTGTGTTTGCCAAGTTTTATGCCTTGTATCCCTTGTACACTCAACATATGAGAACAACACATGGTGTCAATCAATCAATCAAGCTTCCTTAAATTTGACGTTCCAACAACTAAGGTCACGGCGCCTAACCCATGGTGTCCATAACGTTGATTGCTTGCATTCTGTGTTCTTGGTTGGACGATGGGGATCGTGGAGAATGGGGTTGATAGCAAATGTGCATGCAGGCATGAGAGAATAGCAAGCCCAACAGTCTGGTTGGGGACTGCCTTTGCCTGGAAAGACTTTCAAGTTCCCCCCTCATGCTTAGAAAACAGATAATGCAATGCCCTTGCACCAAGCTGTTGTTGTCGGTCGATGGAAGAACACAAGTGTGTAGAACCATTTGTTCCAGAGTCCTAGGGTGACTCTCCTGCGAATTTGATAACCTGGGAGATCCCTATAGTGTGGTCAACGTTTGTGGTGGTCGTTGTGTTAGGCTGCATTTGAGGGTGAGAGGCGTTGGAGGGATGGATCTCTGGAAGAAGACCTGCCTTTCAGGGAACTGAGGGAGATGTTCAACGTGAACTATTTCTTGGTGTCACAAACAAACCCACATATTGTGCCCATTCTCAACTTCAAGAATCAGTTCAATCGCAAAGTTGCGAACATGATCGAGATTGAATGGAAGCATAGGTAAGGAGAGCACTGCCAACTCCCACATGAGCCAGAAATTGAAAGCGGAACGGTTGCAGTCTGATTGCAGCTTTGCCATTTCCTGTTCTGAGATGGCATGAGTGAAGCTGAACGGAACATGCTTATACATCCTAGCAGGCAGTGCGAAATGAAGTGCTGTGGGGTGGGCATGCATTCTGGCTCATTTGCAGCTGTGACTACTGTGTGAGTGACTGGTTGTTTCATAATGTTTATGATGGTTTCCGATCTGGGCAGCTTTGAAGCATGCCCTGCTTGAAACGATGACATGCAGGAAATTGAATGCACTGAGATGCGATAGTCTTGCAATCAGCTTATGTCATGCCCGGTGCTCACTCAACAGATGTGGGGAATGTTCACTGGGTCCTCCTGCCTGTCTGCCCGTGCACAGTGTTTTTATAGCTAGGGCTATTAAATTCCGCTTCCACATGGTTAGGTTTTGTCTTGGCAGTCCGTGCTGGTTTGCACCTCCATCTGCTTGATGAGAAGGCAGGACATGTGTCTGCAGCGCACACAGAAACTTCCTTGCAGCAACAAGGGATTGCCGTCAGCTTTGTTGCCTATTGGTTTTCTTCCATCACCTGCACCTTTGCCTTTGGCTGATCAGTTGTTTGCTCTCAAAGGTGCCAGCAGCTGCAGAATCTGCTTCCAGACTGGATGCCCTCCAAGTGGCTGACCCTGTTCTCGCAGACCTGGGAGGGTGACGTTACCATGGTGCTGCCAGTGGGCAGCTACTGGACGCTGCGCAAAGCTGTCGTCAACCCCACACCCAATGAAGTCCAGGAGGCAACACACAGGGGGGAGGTGTCCACTTGGGAAAAGCTGTCAGCCATCCAAGTGAACTGTGCGATCGAGAAGGCTCTCGATGAGTCACTGAATGCAGTACTGGCAGAAGTGAGGGGAAGGCACGCCTTGAAGGGACTGAAGTCCAGGATTCCGAGCTGGTTGCACATGCCTGTGTTGGGTGAGGGGGTGCTGCAAAACATTTCCGACGCCTTGAGCTTAAAAGAGACACCTGACTTGACCATTGTGCCGTATTGTCACGCTGCCTTTAGGAATGCAGTCATTCAGTCATTTGCACATTTGTCGGAAGCCATCTGGCCCAACCCCAACAGTTGACAGTTTCACACCAGGATGTGTGGCTTCAGTTTGTTGCGTGTATCTGTGGCAAATGCAACTGAAATCACAGTTTGCAGAAATGGATACTTCTGTTCCTGGCTGTTCACAGTCCGCTTGGAAATCGTGCACAAGAGTCCGAGCTGGTAGCACACTGTGCTGTTGAGCGATCACCTTCAGTGTTCCGAGCATTGCCACAATTGTCATTCACATGCTTTTGCTTTATTCCTGGTCAAACAAAGCAGAACAGCTGGTTATGTTTTGGCACAGTTCCATTATGGAGCATTGGCCTGGCTGATTCACTGGCAGAGGGAGTCATTGGTGCTTATTGCTCCATGTGGTTGCGTTACTGATTTGTGGTGTGCATCCACAGGTTTGCCCTCCCCGGAGTCCCTGGATTCACTTCTTTCCCTGGATGACAGCAATGCGCCTCAAACCCCCCAGTGCACAGTTGATCGTAGGTCAGATGGCAACAGACAGGTGCAGTGTCTGGATGACACTGCAAGGGTAATCAATGGAAGAACCAGCTTTGATGGGGAGCACACCGGGGACAAGGGGCTCAACGTGATCGCCCCGTGAAGCATGCATGCCTGGCTGGCTGACTGACAAAGGCCAGTGGCCGTGTTCGCAGTTGCCAGCCGGGCATGGAATTTTTTGGTCACCTCCTGGAGATCATTGCTGCATTGGTCCCCAAGGGGGTTGATGGAGCTGGGGAGAAAGTTTTGGAGGGGGTGGGTGGGTTGGGAGAGGGGTGTTTGGATGCATCAGCGTGCAAAGGGCTGCGTGAGCCTCTGGTCCTGGCGATGTGACGGCTGTGTTTCTCGCACCAGAGAGTGGTGCTGCAACAAATGATTGAGGCCTTGTGTCAACGAAAATCGTGTGCTATCAGCCCAATGAGTGGGCTAGTTGCCGCGTGCTAAAATCTGTTATCATCGCAGCCCCTCGCTGATTGGGGATTCTTTTGGCTTGCGTTTTTCTTCTGTTTTTGCGCCGACATAGTTGAAGGAGGTGAATGCTGGAGTGCGTTGCGGGGGTCGGGTCAATTGATTTGCTGCAGTTTTGAAGAGTTTGGTATTGTCTGTGTGGGTGCCCAGGACCTCCAGGGTGGACGGTGGCATGGCTTGTGAGTTTGCACCCACCGTTGCTCCTTCGCATTCACCAGAAGTGCTTAGGGCTGGCCGGCACTGTGGGTCATATTTTAGGTGAAATTATGGGAATCAATTTTGAGGTGACCTCCCTGCCTATTAGGCTATCATTTGGAAGTCCTGAACCGGCAGTGTCAGATAAATTTTGACAGGTCTTTGGCATGTTGTACCAGCCCATCATGGCTGCTGTTGCTCAACGGCCTGGGGCTAGGTAACCTATTTTGTGAGCGTGACCGGTCTTTGGCAATGCGTTGGCGGTGATGCCCATCGGGGCAGGGCAATGAGCGTGGGCGGATGTAGGAACGACGGATTTCAGGGCTGTAGTAGGTGAACCCAGTTTCTGTCAAGAAGAGGTAACGTCTCTAGGTACAAACCAATGCTTTGTGTCATTGTAGTATCACGTAAATGTAATTTGAATACATTTGTTGAAAGCATGTGTCGTTTTTGGCATCCACGCTCTCCCACAATGTCGCACACCGCTGGAGGTTAGTGCTTACATGGCCGAGCGCCTTCAAAAGGCTTGGCCAAGCGCCGCACAGAGCAACGATGCGGCACATGCCGGCAGTGTATTGCCTCCAGGGGGCTGCTGGCCTCAAGAACAGGCATGGTGGTCGACGTTGCTCAGGCACATCATTGGCGATGATCTCACGCCCTCTCTAGTGTGCGTGCCACACCAGGGATTCACGCCCAAGCATCCATGGGCAGGGAATTACAGGCGCCACATATTGCGCTGCCACACGCATGTGTAACAGTCATTGCCGCGTCTGGGGGCATGTGCATGAAAGTCACAACCTTGTGCGGCCATTGTCCCTGGGCCCTTGCGCACAATGCAGGCAGACTGCAAGGACGCACACAGGCGGCTGGCTCCAGCAGACCGTGCAGGCTGGCAACGCAGACCTGCCATCCTGGGAGCCAAACCTTTGTTCAAGTTCGTAAGAAGTGGTTCCAAGTTACAATTCTGGCCCACCCCAGCCCAGCGGTCCCGAGGCCCATGAAATGAACCGAACTGAATCGAACCGGTTCAAGGAGCCCAGACAGGAAGGACTGCAGCAGGCAATCTAGATGCTGCAACAACATGAGAGGAGCGCAGGGTGCACCTGGCCAAGAACATGACATGGAGGGTGCAGCTTCCGCACTTGAACGAGATCCTCCATCTGTCCATGGCTGGGAAACATCGCAGAGTTGACAACCCCTTTGATGTCACTTCATTTGGCGCTGCATTTGTTGAAGCTGCTGCATCTGTTGCTTTTCTAGCTCTGTACTGAGTTCTTGAAACCGGGCCGCCACTCGACCTGAATGGTGCAGGAACTTTTCGCAGCAGCGAGATACACACTGCAGTGCACACATACACAACAATGGATGTCATCTACCCACCACTTGGGCAACACTGAAGGTCGTAATGCCATGCAATGGACAGGGGCGTCATCCTGTTGAACGAAAAATCGGCAAATTATGCAGAAGATTTGAAGGCAGTAGCCTGACTATGGTTCAGTGATGGGGGAAGAGTGAACACTCAATGATGGAGTTCTGGTAGTTTAATGCACTTGTACACAATAACATGCTATGTTTGCTGTTTTGGCATTTTGATGACTTACCGTTGCTTCGTAAGGGTTTTAATCTTTGGCATTCTGCCCAATGAGCATCGCCCAATATCCTTTTCGCTTTGCGACTGGATGGGCTGCATGAGCATGGGAAAGGCCTGGACAGGTTTGAGACTGGCCCAAAGGCGTTCCTTTTCACCGTCCATGAGGTCGTTTTGAAATACTGGCTTTGGAGATCGACCAGCCACAGGCACCAGATGGCGTGCTTTGCAGCGGATCCGCAATCATCGTGCAGTCCATGCCCACTCCCAAGGGAAATACAACATTGATCTTGGTGAGGAACTCAATGCAAATAGATCGTGTTGCAATCGCAGTGCCATGGCATTGGCCAGCGAAGACTGTCACCAGTCTGCGTCCACCACTGCACAAGCATGGTCTGGATGGATCCAGGACGCAAACGCGCAGTGTCTAGCAGTGTCCGAGTTGGTGCATGGGAAGTTCGGCTTTGCATTTTTTAAGCAATTTTGCGCTCAGCATTTTGCCACTCGAGTTTCCTGTTTCGTTGCTTAGCACGAAAGAGCAAAACGTCACGTCGCTGTGCCAAAGGGTACAATGTGGATCTGATGTGTGAATCTGCAAAATGACTCTCATATTGGCTGCATTGCACAGGAACACAGATCAGAGATGCGACACTGGTGTAGCGTGTTGAGGCTACCTTCTCCTCATCTGTGGCTAAAGTCTTGCTCCTAAAGCTATCCACGCAGGCGTTGAAACACCTCTCCACGAGGCTGTTGTAAAGGCGCATGCTACACAACAAGCACAACCACAGAGTCAGGGAGGCTACAACAAATGTTCACACTTGAACATTGACACAACTTGTGTAGAGAATCTTGTGCCTGCATCTGTCTGAATGTGACAAAAAAACTGCCCTTGTACATTAAACATGCTGCTCGCTGTTCTTTAGCCCTGGTACATGCAACTAATAATGAGCGCCAGCGGGTCAATTCACATCCATCGAATTTGGGCAACGAACATGAGCACAACATCATCCATCACAGCAGATTCAACGAGTCTGAAGTTGAGTCGAGGCGCCACGACTCAAGGAAAATGACTGCAGAAGATTGGATCAGAGGACCCAGGTCGTAGACATTGCGCTGCCTCGATGATCGGCTCCCGTCAACACCCAAGGGATCCGTGGGTTTCTGCAATGCTCCACTGCAATGGCGCCGCATACTGCGGCAGCGTCTGCAGGGTCCCAACAGAAAACAGTATCCAGCGAAGGGCATGAGCTGCTCAAACCCCACAGCAGTGTCAGTGTTTGCGTGATCGGTTGCACGATCACATCGGACAATGGCCTTCCAGTGCACCAGGACACAAATGCCCTTGTCCCGGGTCCCATTAACGAAGGAAAACCGCACGACTGCCAAGCCGCTGTCCGACGCGCTTTCGCACAGGTCTCTTCGCCTATCCAGGCCTCATTGCACCGCCACTGTACACAGCAGCCCTGGACCCGTTCAGCTGCCCAGCAATCATTCTGGCCTCGCGCGCACACTACCGTGATCCCGGCCACCCCAATCACACACCTGTCCCTGATCTGCGCTTTCTCTAACGACTTCAGCAGCTGCTGCTTGTGTTCGTCGGGCAGGTCGCCCATCGCCTCCAGTGGCACATTCATGGCGGCGAAGGGCTCGCGAAGGGAGATTCTGAAGTGGCGGCGCGGATCTACACGCTTGCGGTCGCCTCCTCGATCGTATTGCAGCCCCCTGAGCCTGCGGACGGCTGTCTCGCGCACTGTGCCTGTGGCGCGTGCACCGGGAGGAGTGTTCAGTTTCAGCACATGGTGGCAGGCTTTCTGCTGGAGTTGCTGTTTTCCCCCGCTTCCTTGTTTGGGGATGTGGTCGGGATTGGCTGGCGCCGTACAGGAGTGCACATACGCATGAGCATAAATGTAGCATTTCCGTACTTCGAAATCTTGCATCGCTACTTAAAGGATACATCCTTCCGCACAGTTTCGTAACAGTGCCGCTCAGCTTTTCCACGCATTCCGCATAACTCCTGCCGACGGAGCCCAAAACGGATGCTGTGTGCACTTGTGCAGCCCCGCGCACAGGTCCCTTTTGTTCGTGCCCAAATGCTGACGCTCGCAGGCGCCAGGCAGCCGTGGCGTGGTTAACAAGCGTTGCTTGCAAAGATCGACTGCGCACGCTTAGCGGGGAAAGAAGCGGGGCAGGCCTGGCGACGCAAAGGCAGCCATGTTTGCTTTTCCTTTTTTCCTGTGTCGAAGTGCCGACGACGGGTTGAATTGGCGAGCCCTTTCGAAAAGGTCGATTAGGTAACCATGGGGGGCTTAACGCGCAGCCTGCGGCCACGCAGACACGATCGAATGGCGATGGAAGTGACGCAAAGGCTCCCGTATACGGTCACTACGTAGCGATCGGTGTAGCTGGCAGTGTTGGATGGGACTGGCCCCATACGAGCCGTGGGCAGCCTTGTGAACGGGAACGACCTAGATGCTACCCTATCTTGCGTGGCGCGCATGGCCTGACAGCACGGGGATGGTTCGAGCGCTTGCAGAAGCAAAAGCGCCACAGTTGTGGCGTTCCCATTCATCCCGTCGTGCCTTGCCGCAAGGACGTCGCGCACGAGCGCCCAGCACGTGTGCGCCAACCCGAGAGCTGTCGGACGTGTCAGACATTTTGGCAAGACGTTTCTTGTGTAGCTCTTTTGCTGGGCCGCATTTCGCCCTGGGAGCGCCGTTGCGCTATTTTGTGGTTCCGCAGAAAGGGGTCGAGCGTCGTGTGGCTGGCAAAAACGCCAAATAAAGTACGGCACTGTCCCTTAAAAGATTGAGGAACAGCTTCATGCAGCGGCAGAGCAGACCACGTGGTTCACGCTGGTTGTTGCTGCAAGATTTGCGTGATCCTATTATTTTACGTAATTCTCGGTGTGATGTGATTCTGTGGACTGCAGGTCTTCAACAGCACATGACATGCCAACACCTAGCACACTGAGGGCGACCCAGGAGCAGCTACTACAGCACATCTCACATGTATCTGCCCGCTCCTCTTAAGACCGTTCTGCCATTGCCCATGTCACAATGTCGATTGTCGCCCGCCAAGCGACACCTGGGACACAATCACTGAACCGCATCTCCGTCATGGCCCTCTTGAATTGGCCCCAAGGTGATCTGTTACGCTGATAGACAGATCACTAGCAATGGGAACAGCGAGGCGGTCGACACCATCCTGTACGTGAACAACGCCCACACGGATTTACGGATTTTGGTGCGCAGCAACTGCAATACCCCATTCGCAATGTTCACGACAGTTGCCTCTGACCATACCTGCCCCGTTTTCGTGCAGTGGAAAGAATAGCAGCAGGTCGTGCATAGCAAGCTTGTTATTTACTTTCACGCTTTTGCGCGCAAAAACTTTGTTTTGCAAAAGGGGCTATTTTCGCGCCGGTATTTGCGTTTCACAGCTCGTTGTGACACCGAGGTAGCACGATAAAAATCGTGCTCAATGATCAGTACTCCAACTCCTCGAGCACCCGCAACACTGAGTCGACTTCGCGCTCGGTAAGGGCCACGACGGCGTGGAACAAACGTTCGTTTTCTGCCCATTACGGCGCGTCTGGCTGCTACTCCCCGGAATCCTGAAGCCTGTATGTACTGTCTTGTGTACAAGGGGCTGTATATACGTTGTATTTACGTATTTTTACGCGTAAAAGCGTAAATAAGATCTGTGTTTGCGGCGTAGATAACCAGCCCGGTGCAGAGATCTTCAGCTATCGATTTCGCTCACCCCTCGCTTCACCTTCTGTTCTCGCTGAAGTTTGCTTTGCCTGACTTTCGCATGCATCCAGCCTGCGCATGATAGGGAAGGCACCATGTCGATTCTGTTACCCTTAGCGTCAATTTGACGCTAAGCCCAGACCCCCCCTCTCCTCAGCGTCAATCTTTATGTCGATGCCAGGATGACTCAACAAACATTACCTAACAGCGAAACATAATTCACAGCTGTTTTTAAGGAAAAAAACCTTAGAATTGTGCAAATTTCTGTAGGCTTAAAAATGGAGCTTGCAAGCCATCGTAGGCAGCGCGGGAAGCCACAATGCCTGTAAGTTGACGCAATCTGAGGAATTTCCTGAAGACTGAACATTTCAGGGAGGTTTATGAACATGTCACGAGCGTTTTGCTGCTGATCAGGAGCGCCTCAAGGCATCTTTCCACCTTATTGCAATTTTGGTGCAATTACATGCTCGCCACCGAGACCTGCTGTAGCTCCTGGCAAGAAGGGCAAGGAGTCAATAGGATCAACAGATCGTCGTCAGCCTTGCCAAATCACTTTGGAGTACGCGTGCTTTGGGCCACGTTCAAGATTCCTTAACCACATGCTGCAAAATGAGGCAAGTGGGAAAGTGCGATAAATTACTGTTGAAACTCAATGAATGCATGCAAATCACTTCTCAAGGTAGACACTTAAAGAACTTCGCTTAATGCGCTTCACTGGGTGTTCGTAACTTAACAAATTTGCATAGTTCAAGTCACTTCAATTCGTCAAATTTCACTTAGCTTTGGTTGAATCCATTCGAGAGAAACTCTACATCGAATATTTATTACTAACGCCAAATAATTCCAAGGCTGAGTGGGGTGCCACCCCCACGTGGGGTTGGGATGGGTGGAAGACCTATAACACTATTTGCTTGTGTCACTGACATGTAAGTTAAGAAGGGACCCGAAGCACTGCTGACCAGCGGCAACAAGTTACGATGTGTAAGAAACACACTTCGAAGCCCTCAATCTGCAAGAAAATTCATTCCAATCTCCCAATTTGAACCACAAGCGCTATAATCCTCAAGATTATCTCCAAACCCATTAGCCTTGCCTCTCATGCCGTTTTGGACATTTCACCACTGTTCTGATGATGCCCTACTCAAATACACAACAATCCTATTCCATCGAGATCACGTTCATAAACGCTTACCTAAATTTATATGACATTTATTGTCATCACGTTTATCCCGAGGCATGCAGATTACACCTTCACTTATATAAGAATACTGCATTCTTCATGATGAAAAGTCTATATGAATATTGCACGCAAACAGACCATTAAATTTCATTCCTTAAAAAGAAAGCACAGTGCGAGTACGGCAACGCGCACATAGCATTATTGCACGCACTTTTGATACCATTTCGCCTCAAATCCATCACGCTCAACAAAGAAATATCTGGAAACGGCTTCAACGAATCAGCATTTCCTCACTTCTCACCCCTGTGCAATTTGGTACATGTCGATCGCGATTGCCCACTTCAAACATCGGCTGATTCACTGACAAGCATGCCTTTTATAGATTCCCATGGGTTCAGGGTCACAGCAGTACATGGTCTCTCGTCATAAGGCTGCATGCACTCTCAATCCGGCGGCCCCACCGACGGTCCCTCGTCACGGCCCCATGGCCACGACACGCGCCAATATTCCCCGCCGTTTGTCACCAGCGCCTCTCCCTCTGTGGGCCGCCACCATCGGCGCAGTTCCGGCACGCGACGCCACCTCACATGCACTCCTTTGACGTGCCGTTCTCCCGTCGGTCGCTGCCTGTGCATCCGGAGGGATGCCGCTTTCTCACATCTGCTCAGCATGATTTGAGTCCGCGGGATCTCCACTTCCCGAGTCGAATCTGCCAAGTCAGTGCCATGGGCCATCAGGAGAGAGCTTGCGGAGTTGGTCTGTCCTGCTGGTTGTTCTCTCTGGGCTTCACCGTGCTTAATGGGGACGATTGGCCCTGCCGCACGTAGAAACAGGCTTGATATTTACGCCGTAATGCCTGATCGTATAGACGTTTTTGGCGTGAAAATAGTTTTAACGTTTTTGCCTGTAAACAGGCAAAATAATGCGTACATGCAGACGCGAATACAGCCCCATGTAAGTACAGACGATACACACAGACTTGGGAGCCCAGGGAGTAGCAGCCGGACACGCTGGAATGAGCAGAAACGGAGTTTTGTTCGACGACGAGGTTGACCCTGCTGAGGGCGAGGTGGACGCTGTGCTGCGTGCGCTCGAGGGGGCGGATGACTGATCATCGTACGCGACTTCATCATGTAACCTGGGTGTCCCAGCGAGCAGTAAAAGTACGTAAATACAGGCGCAAAATATCCTCTTCTGCAAATTTATGTTGTTGCGCGTAAAAATGCCAACGTAACAGTATATACGTAAATGCAAAAATCAAGTCTTCGTAGAAACATCATGAGAAACTTCGGTTGCATATATGCGATGCAGTTGCCACAGTTTCTTTGCACTTCTTACACTGTACCATTTCCGCCATTGAGTCAGCATTCAATCATTAATTTCAAATGTTGTACGCCAAGGCAAGTCGCCAGCCAGCAGCTCCCCGTCATACCCCCGGATGTTTCGGCGTTGCTCTGAGGAAATGCACTCCAGTGGCATCAGCCTACAGCAGCTGGACACTGCAATGAAGGAGACACTGCATCCCATCTTCAGGATTAGACTGACGAAGTGGGCACAATCAGTCTGAATCAGGCTGAAGGAGAGATTCGGAATGGATTGTTGTGGCTGCCTTGGCTGCTGCCCGGTCTGCATGAACGTGTTAATCGCTCAGACACAAGTTGGGAGTTTCATCTGAGCTTCTGGACGCCATGTGCTCCCTTTTTGCAGTTCTTCATCATGCAGCTTCCCCTTGTTTTCAATATTCAGCTGCTGTGAAGGCAAAAATACTGCCATGCCTGTGTAGCTGTGCCTCCCAGTGAGCCATCACGTGTCAGACTTGTGTCCAAAATTTCAAGGACAATACCACTGATAGTGAGCTTAACAGCTCCGCATGTACTGCCTAACTCCAAACAACAATTTTTCCGCACCCCGCGTCTGGTCACAACGCGTGGGTGCCAGCGTTAGAACAATGCCGCGCTGCACGCCGCGCAGGTGGCCAAACAGTACAATAATTGCACAAAGACCCAAATCGAATGCTGAAAAAACAGCCCCGAAGAATTTACATCACGAGGGAACCGTAGATGCACTGGCACCCGGCGAGGCGTCCGCCGATCGCCCTTCGGCGGGGGAGATTGCCCCCGCCCGTCCCCCGATGGAATCGCCGCTCCCCAGGCGGCCCGCCCAGCCAGACCTCCTTGCCAAGGCCAGGACCGTGTGCCTTCGACCGCTCAGGTCCCTCCTGCGCCGCCGCGGCTCCCGACGCTCCGCGACAGACTCGATAAATTTCGGCGGGAGGGGTGGTGGGTCGGGCGGGGGAGAGCAACGCGGAGGCGGGGGCGGAGGGAGCGGCGATGATGGCGACGGTGAGCTGTTTTCTGGGAGTGCAGAGCGCGAAAATGTTGAGGAATGGGGCTTGGATGGTCCATGAGGGATTGGCATTTCGGTGGGAATTGGATTGGGCGGTTTGCGGTTGATCTGGGGAAGAGCGCGGGAACCATGGCGTAGTGTGCGTTCGCTGTGTGTCCTTGTCGCGCACACAGCGTGCGTATATGTGCTTTGTCCGCATTTGGCGGAGCCTCGTGGCTGAGGTGTGTGCTGAGCCGCAGCGGAGACAGGCGTCGGAGGATTTTGAGTTAATAGCCACAACTCCAACGGGGGGTGCAGTGGGTGCCTGGTAGGAGGGAGAGTTCGCCCGCGCACTCAATAGTTGTACCCTTGCATTTGCTGATCTGTCACAGCGCTGCCTCATTCAGCCACACAAATTGTCATGCGCACTTCATGGGGTACTTAGCATCTGGAGCAAAGGGGAATGGCAGACAATCAGTGCATGGAGCTGTACTGTATTCCCAAAACTCAGGAGGGGGCGGCTTGCCACAAGGGAAGCTGTATACCTTCCCTTGGCTTGGAAAACAAAAGTAAAGCACAGAGCCGTGATAGAATTGCATGAATGTGTGCTTGCAGGCAAAGAAAACACCACACATTGATCATGGCAGCTGTCTCCAGGGAGTTCAAACTTTGAGAGGTGTTCCTCATTCTAGTGGTTTGCAAGTGCCTCATCATGAGTCAAATATCCTGTGTCAATTTTTTTTGGCAACTCTGTACCACACACCAAGCAACTTCAATCGGCCATTCTCCAGCAGAACCTGAAGGACTTTTGGTGCCAACTATCAGGTTTAATGCTTCGCTGCGCTTTTCGGATGCAGGCGTTGTACCCTGTCTCGATTTTCTCAATTGTCGAGCAAGCATGTTGATTCATTTAGAGATTTCTGAACCACGTTACCTAGGCAGTAGGAACCTCAAGCAGTTTGATGGAAGGGAGACTCGCATTCCATACAGATTTCTTAATTCCTATTTCCCTCCCCAGATTTGTTGCCTATGGACACACACACTCAGGGTGGCGGACTATTTGCAGAACGGAAAGGTGTCTGTCCTCCCCTTGAAGCTTCGAGGACCATGCTTAGTCCCTTTTGGCAACTGTAATGTCAACAGGTTTTCCGTCTCCCTTAGCACCCGTTTCATCTCCAGCTTCAGGTGAGGTGACCTGTGGTCCACAGTCATGAATGCCTGGCATTGCATGCGCTGCAGATGGCGTGCCACAGGAGAAAATTATGTGGAAGGGCTGGTACAACAGGGCCCAGGGAGATGCCTGGTTCTCCACCAAGGTGAGCATTGAGCAGATGATCGGCCTCAGCGCCGCAGTGCTGGGCGACATGGCCGCCCGGGACAACTGGGGGCTAAACGAGCTCGACTTCGTCTTCTCCACGCTGGTGGTTGGCAGCATCCTGAATTTCTCCCTGATGTACCTGCTGGCCTCGATCCCAGCAACGGGGAGCGGGGTGCCCAAGTTGAATATGTTGCAGAAGCTGTTCAGCGATCAGATACTGAAGAGCTGGGGCGCTCCTGGGGCCCACATCTTCGAGAAGGGCTACTCGCTCCCACTGAGGGCCACGCACATGGTCTACAAGGGCGTCCTGTTCGCCCTGGTGGGGTTCTGCGCCGGTGTGGTTGGCACAACGGTCTCCAACTGGCTGCTGCTCACGAGGCAGCGGCTCGACCCACAGTTTGAGCTGCAGAACAGGCCCCTGGACGTGCTGCACAACTCCCTCACGTGGGCCTGCCACATGGGGGCGTCCGCCAACGTGCGGTACCAAGTGCTGTTCGGCCTGGACATGGTGCTGTGCCCTGCGATGCCCGCACAAGCCTTCCTGACCTATTCCGCTGTCGTCCGCACATTGAACAACATCCTGGGCGGGGCGTCCTTTGTTTTCTTTGCCAAGCTGTTTGGGGTTCAAGAGACAGGCCAGGAGGTAGTGTCGCAGAAGAGCTGATGAGTGCCGCCCACGGGCCTGTGGCAGTGGGATGGTCTCCTCAGGGCTGTGGGCGCAGTAGGTTTCAAGAGAGGTCGGGTGGCGTTGTGGGCAGAGAGGCAGAGCTATGTTTTGATTGGCAGTCGTCGCACGCGAGTGGAAGACGGCAATGTAGGCAGGCGTTGTTTTTATCATGGGTGACATGCACTGGACCGTGCTGCTGTCATTTCAGCCTTCTGGCTTAGCAGTCGTCGGTGTTGTGGCTCTGGTGGGCCGTGAGAGATCACCATTCCGGCGCTTCATTGTTGGTTGCTCATGCTGCTTCTTGCCAGGGTTCTGAGCCGCCCCAACTGCGGCAACCAGCAGGCGTTCAACGGGTCGCGACGTTGTTAGCGCCTCTGAATGGAAAGCCTTTCCTATACGCAGGCAGTGGTCTGACACATTCTGTTTGCCCCTAGCTTACCATTTTCCTGATGACCCATCACGAGAGGACGCCTCCCACGTCCTCGTCTCGTGTAATCACACCTCCGCAGGGGAGTTTCGCCCTGCCGCCGTGCGTCACCCTCGTGCACCCCGTTACGATACTTGCCCGCAGCGCTGGGCGGCCTTGCCCGTCCTTGCGCTGTGGTTCTTTGGAGTATTCGGCCAGTCAGGTTGGGCGTCCACATCCTCTCAATTAGCTTTTTGGGCTGAGGAACACTCTCAGGTTGAAACTGTGAGAGAAGGCGCATTCCGAGCAAAAGTACAGTCAATGCACACCTTCAGAGGGAACCACTTACAACCCACATAGCGTACGACAGGTTGGCCCGGGCAGCCAGCCCTTCGATTTCGTTCCCTGACTCTGACAGTCACAACGCTCACTCCCGCCAGAGGTGTTCAAAGGCCGCACGCCTCCATGAAAATGCTGTTCGAAACTGTTTCTTCCAGTCGATTACCAGCGGCCATGCCACAGCACAGTCCAGCCGCTCTCACGAATACTGAATTACTGCCTGGAGGTGACCAAAACTATCCCGTCCAAAATCTCAACCAAAATGCACTCTAAGCGAGGTCGTCGTCATACAGCACACCAGCATGCCTTCGTGGGATGCAAGTCTGCACTTCTGGGCGCCACGAGGGGAGCGGTCCCCACTGCGCGGCGCTTCAGTTGTGCTCCCCACACACCCCTCCTTGGAACAAGCGCAGCCCAAGAGCCATGCCAACATTCAAAATCAAACTGTGAACTTCACCTGCAATACAAAACTCTCCTGCACACCACCAGTGTCCCATCAGGCATCCCAAAACCTGAGGGGGCGCTGCTGCCAGCGCAAACAGGGGCAGGTGAAGTCAATCTCCTGTTCCCTCCAAATGCGGAGGCCAGGCATATCCCAATCGCTGCCCCTTGATGCAGCCATTTGGCCACTCCACTTGCCCACTGAGCCACTACGTCAAGGGCACCAACAAGCTGCAAGTCATCTCAACGGCTGTCGAAATGGCCGCCGCTCGATCTGGTGCCACTGTGGCAGCCACCCGATGCACAGTGACGAGACAGCAGCCCTATCATGTGACCATCATGAACGGCAGTACCGCAAATCAATGGCAATGCCCCCCAGAATCTTCCCATACCATCGTTTCTAAGTTACCCCATCGTTCTGTCCTCCCTAACCCGCCCACGCACTCTTTCAAAAACGAAGAATACACTATCAACTTCCCATCGAATCAGTACTGCGGCGGCTCATTTGTGCTTAGCAGCGATGATGACCGTCGTGACCAGACCAGCCATAACGGCCCTCCGAACTGCTCTGATGGGGCGGAACCTGCGAACCCTTACACTCTGGCTGCTGGCATTCGAGTCCATGCTGTCATCACTGTCAGTCTCGGGTTGCCAGTTTGCACCGTAGGCTTGTGGATCGGCAGCATCCTGCACAGTAGCAACCGGAGTTAGTGAATGCCAAGAAAAGAAACTAAAATCAGTCGCGGCCACTCACAGTGGCAACGGCATGCATTGGGATGTTGAAAGGATCCCTGATCTGGCAGATGCTGTGGTATGTCAGTGTTGCAGCTAGCACTTGGCCGCTGGTTTGTTGAGGTGGAGAGTACCATCCCTGACCGGAGGGCCAACAGACATCAGGTCCAGTCGCAGATGTCACAGAGTGTAAGCACTACAGCTGTGCCCCGTGATAAAGGAACCAAGGGGACAAACTTCATATTCAACTTCACAGCCAAAGTCACTGCTTTGGGCACATTGAGTGGGAACTGCCCCTGCCACAAAAAAACAGCAGTTCGACCACAGCGACAGAGTGGCAGCATGCCCCACAGGCCCACAAAGCCAGCCCTTCTGCGCCCATCGTCCTCAGCAAGGGGCAAAGCCATGCACCTTCCATATTGTTTCACTGTTCTTGTTACAAAATGCACGCCATACCAGGGCTTGGACTGTCGAGTGTACCCGACACACCATAAACACAGCAGCTAACGTACCGGATCACAACGCGCCCTCCTCTCAGCTGTAAACTGTCGTATTGTAGGCTCCATGTTCTTGATGAATCCCCACATGCCCTTGCAGGCCACGAATCGTGACAACCGCTCTGGGACCCCAAACTGCTCGTGGTGGAGCAGCACAACCTCACAGGCCTTCCTGTCCGTGCCCCATGGGCAGGTCACATTACGGGTGTACCACATCGAGTAGTAAACCTCCATTCGCACAAGGCCATCCTTCACAGGTGCCAGTGGATGATCCACAGTCTGTAAACACAACCAACATGGTTAGGCATCAACACTTAACTCACTTTTCTAGCTGATGCCATCACAAATATCTGGGTGGTATCTTGGTGGTATCTTGGTCTTGAGTCCATAATCCCACAACATAGGGCAGCATAGTGCAATCAGCATCAGTGCACCCTTGTTGCTCCTTTGTTTAACACTTGTCCCAAAGAAGTCACACCAGTTTAAGGACTGTAAATGAACACCAAGCAACCTCTGCCCGTATTTTTTTCTGACAAAATCTGAAGAAATGGCTCTTGCTCTGCATTCCTGCTGCGCAAGGCCGAGAGTGTGCCAAGTCCTGCTCACACATTGACACACGCTTGTCACAGTAAATGCTTACCTTTGTCATGGCATAGATCTTGTCCCCCTCTTGAAACACCCTTCTGCCAATAATGTACTCACGATCGGTCATGAAACTGAACGGAAACGACCTTATCCATCGGACTATCTGGCGACGGTCTGACATGGACTCCTGCTGAAGGAGCTCATGATGTGAAATCATGCCATCCTGTCATGCAACACGACCAGCGTCAAGCCACATGGATCCATCCAAAACTGTGGAAAATCGACTGCCTGGGTCACCAAAACTTGACAGGCGCTCGAGCATAATGGGAAGGTGTTACAACATACACATCGTGTGGAGGCAGCCTTTTGCTGGAATGCAGGGCACTTCTGTCCACTTATAATCAGATAGCTTGCTGGATCCTCATGGAGAAACACTGTTCAGGTTGCAATGAATGCTGTAGCACTGTCCAAAACAATCTCACATTTGGCAAAGAGCCCATACACAACAAAATGCTTGGCTCCATGATCTCGAACTCTCTACCAGGCTGCCTGCAAGCGGCATTGTGGACACACACGATGTCTTTTTACTTGAGACAAGGGCATTCGACAACGCACTCAGCACTTGATGCCTAGAATCTAGTCAACATGCTTGCCGTGTGGGTCGGTTACAATTTGTCGAAGTGCTTTTTCAACCACTATTCCCTGGGGCACTTTTGTGTGCATTGCTTCTTGCGTTTGGTACCAAAGACCCTACTTCTCTTCTACAAACTCATAGCTTCGTCTAACTGAAGCATGACGCTATCTTGGCAGAGAATGGGAAGCAGCGATTCGCAATGGACTAAAATTCGGGTTTAGGATTCAACTCTGCCAGCAATTGATGTGATGCAGTATGACTATGGTGAAAGATTTCCACCAAACACTTGGAAACCATAGCTCACAGTGCATGGAAGGCGTGCAGACAATCGAACATGCTTCTGCACAGGTAACAGATGGCTGGCAGCAGGAGTCTTGCAGTCTTTTTGTCACCTTTGGAACTTCAATATTGCGCAACCCCCCTTCCCGCCACCCCCCCCACCCCCCACCCCCCACCCCACCCCCCACCACCACCACCCCCTTCCTTTCTTTTCTGAGTAGACTGTCAGTCCTTAGCACAGACTGGTTGTGTCACTTCAGCACATTCTGCGAACAACATCCTGATCTCAAAAGGGTCCAGTATCGTTGTGTGGATGCGTAGGCATTGATTTCTCACAGAAACCAGCACCGACAAAGCAGAGCTCAACAAGAGACCACGCAAGTTGCTCAATTCGTTCGCACTCTTGCAGATAGTAGCTCCCGCAGTGGTGCTAATAAACAAAGATCAATGTACTCCTAGTGGGTGCAAGTGCTCCAGTGCATGGCCTTTTTCCTGTTATGAAACGCACTGGACCATACAAGACACTGTTTGACAAACAGGCACCTACCCATTTCATCCGGTAAGGATCGTCGAGGTAGAAATCCATCATCTCCTGTGCTGTAACGTCCCGCACAACTGTCACGCTCTTGTACTCCGTACCCTTGTTCTGCAAGACAACTGCGACCTCAGCACCCCCATCAACCTCTCCAGTCAATGTGATCCACACCCAATTGCACTGTTTCCGCGCACAAGAAACTAAGCGAGTAGAAGTCAGGGCCACACGGGCTTCCAAGTGAAGCGCACCATCCTTATCCTCCTTTTATCCGATCAAATGCGCACCCAGGCACCCACAAGACGATGAAAGGCTGGTCCAATAACATTGCCCGTCCCTGGTTTGATAGCCTGGCCTGAAGTGCAGGTGGTTGGCCCTTATGAAGGGGGGCCCATTCTAAGGGAGCAGGGCTAGCAGTGTGACAGCCGTGTCCAAGCAATGCAAACCCTCCACAAACGGCATTAGCAGGAAGCTCTGGGTCTGAACGCTGTGACTGCTGCTGATGAAAGCTGCAACACCCCAGTGGCTGGATGGTGAGGACGCGGGTGAGAATACCAATGAAGATGCTTACAGGAAGAACGTGGCACCAGGCAGAGAAGGTGAGCTCCCCAGGCAACTCCTTCTGACAAAATCTTTTCCAGTCTTTAGGGTCTCGATTCTCCATCCTGGTCTTGAAGAACTTCAGGTCCTCTTCAGTCACGCACCTGCAGAAATCAAATGGAAGACAGTTGGACGATATAGGACACAGATATCTTTTTGATCCGACCGACGCCCTCACCCGGACCACTGCTGTTTCGCTGGTCTGTTCCTCTGGGTGATTCGAAGATTTCCAGTTCTGGTCTTCTGCACATCCGCCTTGAATACATTTGTCACAACATCTCCAAAGTGCTGCACAACACCTTTAAGAGTACAAAAGTGGCCGCCCCCCGCCTCAGACAACGCCGATGGCAGTCGTCTCAGGCGCTTAGTATTATGCAGCTTTCTGGAGTGAAGGTATTTTGGGGGCATCCCAAAACGCATTGCCCTGCCACACTTGCGGCGCTTACACACTATTCGAAATCACTTACCCACATGCAATTGACACAATCCGCCCACGTCCCCATGCTGATTCCGACTTTTCTGTGCTGTACAACGGAGTTTCCTGAACAAATCGTGGACAACGCTTTGCCCGCGCGAAATGGAAAGCTGACAACTGCCACCTTGCACTGTAAAATTTCATGACGATGATGGCGATGATGGCTCCGATTTCAGCTTGCTTCACATCTCGTAACACGACGGAGGTTACCGTTATCGTGAGGGCTGCACTGGACGGACTGGAGCACTTGTCGCCCAAGCCAGCGACCATGCTTGGGAGCGAACGCGCACGCAATTGAAGAAAATCTCTGAAACCCAACACTGGCATCCCACGGGATCCTGGTATCTTGCTCACCAGGACTCGTCCGTGGTCCCTGCGTCCTCGGTCAGCGGCCTCGGAGGGGCCCCAAGACCGCGGGAGGCCTTGGCCGGCCGCCGGCAGCACAGCCGCTCCTCCAGCCACCGCCACAGCTCTCGACAGCAGCGCCGGAAAGTGCCTCTCTCGGTGCTGCTGATCCAAATGTCCCTGGGTTCCCCATCGACCAAACAGCACTCATGCATGGCCACAGTCCAACGGCAACCGCCGACGGCAACGGCAACCTGCGCGAGAGCGCGGCCGCAACCCGGTCGCAATCCCCCAAGAGCTTTGGGCGCCCCCCCACGCTTACGCAAAGTCGAGCGCGTTGTTATCAGGACGCCCAGCGGGGGTGCAGCAGCAGGCCATGCACCGCCAGCAGCATCACACCACCCAACAGGCTGCACCCCGCTTTCCGGTGGCGCTCCCGCTCGCACGCGGGCGCTGCCTCCGTCGGCCACGCGCCCCAAGTCGAAAACTACAAACCGTCGTCGGAAAATCGCCCACACCGCCGCACATCACGCCAGCGCGAGCCGGCGAGCGCGCCACGGTCAAACGAAGGCGTCGCGTTGCGGCGACGCAACAGCCAGGCTGCCTCCGCCTGGCGCCCTAAACCTGCGCGCCGCCGCGGTCCACTGCGGCAACCCCGCCCGCGCGCAGGCCTGATCCCACCCAACAAATGGCCCATCACATCACGGCGCGCCCGGCGCCCAGCGGGCGCCCTGCCCCCACCTGGCGATGACCATCCCGTGCAGCAGCAGCGCCGCCCGTCGGACGCCGCTACCGGGCGGCGACGTCAGCCAAGCCGCGCTCTCGCCAGTGAGGAGGCCCAGGAAGCGAGCGCACTGCGCCACGGCAACACAACCAACAATGAGCACCGTGCCGGTGAACCAACGGACAGGAGCCAGAGAACAGCAGGGGGGTGCATTACGGCGAATGGGGTGCTGGACGGAGTTCTGCGCACCATGAACCCGAAGATGGCGCCGAAGACCCAGATGGAGATGGGGGAGAGCACGTTGCCGCGCGCCAGCCACAGGGGCAGGTCGGAGGCGTCTGTTGAGGTCGCCAGGCCGGAGAGGGCGGCGGCGACGCCCATGTCTGCGCGGCTCGCGGCGCGCGGGCGGCCAAAGGCGGGGGAGAGGCGGGGGGAAGGCGGAGGGGGAAGGCGGGGCAGGCGCAGGGGCCACAACCGCAGCGGACCCCGTTGAAGTGGGTACGCCCCGTGCCGCGAACGGTCCCTATGCGCCGCCTGGAGGGATGTGGGTGCGTGCGCGTGCTGAGTCATCGAGGGTGACTCTGGCGCCGGGGCCAATCGGCGGGTGGGCCCCCGCCCACGAGCCGGGGACCGCGCACGCCTTCGCCTGTCCGGCGCCAGCAAGCCGCGCGCTCGTCAGATCCCGGACGGTGCCCAGTGGCGGGCCGCGACCGAGGGCGCGAGGGGCGGGGCGTCCGGACGGGACGTGGTGCGGACGGGCCGCGCGGGGCGTACTCTTCGGGACATCCCACACATGCGAGCGATTTGTGGCGAAGCAGTCGCACGGCAACGCCGCTGGGCGCCCGTCTCAACGCCCGTCTTGCGTCCGACTGTCGAGCCTACCGCTGGCATGGGCAGATGAGCGAGCGCGGGGTATCCTGGCGGGGCGCCGGGCGGCTGGCTCGATCCGCGCTCATCGACAGCGGGCGTGCGCATGACCGCGCCCGCAGAGGGATAGGCGCCAATCCGGCCCGCTTGCGCTGCAGGAAGCAGCTCGTTTCCCGGGAGCAGCTCCTCAACTGCAGTCAGGAGGACAGGTCTCGCGGCCTCACCGCCACCGAGGTGCAGCACCTGAAGGTGTTCTTCATATCATGTGGGTATCCTCGTGGGACCGACGGTGAAGTACTGTGAGCCGCATCTTGGAACGGCGACTTTGCGTTGTTCCGGGAACTCCGATGCCGGCTTTTTGTTGCGGCTGGACGCGGTGGATCTGTCGATGGGATTGGCATTGGTTGTTCCTCATATCGCGCTGTGAAGGGCTGTCGTGTGTTCGGTGTCCCGTCGCGGACGCATCATTTTCCTAGTGTTGACGATCGCCCTTTGGTGGCTGCGCTGGTGCAGTTATCGCGGAAATATGCAGGGGATGCAGGCTGAGGCAAAGGTGGGTATGCATTTTTTGCCATCCCGGCAAGTGTGCAGCTGACATTGGGACATCACTCCTGTGACGTCAACCTCGTCGAATTGAGAAAACACACTGGTATTGTGTTTGGAACGTAGGAATGGACAACTTGTTAAGTGTCAAGCTCTCAGAAAGCTGAAGATCGGCAGACACTCTTAAAGCCTTGTACAAATTTAGTGTCTCGACGACTAACAACTGAACGAGTGAACAACTGACCTTGGAACGACGACATTGGCATTTCATCAGTGATAGCAAAGTTTATTTTCCATGAATGGAAACGTTACGAACATTGCGATCATACAGCAATCCATACTGCCACTGTTTCCATCAGAATTTACTGACATTCCGATGATTTGGCTTTTTGCTGTTGCAGGGTGGCAGCAACAGCATCTGTATTCTTCCATCGATACCTGTTGCGGGTACCCATTGTCCACTGCGATCCGTTTGTTGTCGCTGGTGGGTGTGTGTATGTGGCAAGCAAGGTGGAGGAAACAAGCCTGCAGGCCAAGCTTGTTCTACATTTCATGAGCAAGAAGTGTGAGACCGAAAAGTAGGTGAACTTCCTGCAGTGCTATGATGAATGGGTTTCAACCTCCATGACTGGGGAGGTTGGCAGCAGGGTGCCCATACTTGGGCGACCTGTTCAAAGCTGCTCGTGCATCTTTCAGGTACACTATCAAGTCACTGCTGGATATGGAGGCACAAATTCTGGAGAAGCTCGACTTTTCGCTTGTGGTCTTCAGTCCTTACAAACCCCTGTCTCAACATTTGGAGGTATGTCGTGAAAGCCATGTGCCACCGTCGCTGCGTTGCTATCAACTCACTGGGCCTCCGGTGACTCAAGGATATGGCAAGCCCACTGTCCCTGTCAAGAATCCTCCAGGAGAAGCTATGTTGACTATCCATCTAAAGGACAGGTCTTGTAACTCACATGCAACACGCATGCACATCATGTGACATATAAATGGAGGAGTCCCCTCCAGCTACTTGACAAGGGAACTCTACCCTGACATCCTGTGGAGTGGGTCTGCTGGGCTTAAAAAAATACAGCTCGGGTTGCTGAAGAGCTCCCTGCAAGTGCCCAACATTAGCTGTCCAAACATCAGATGTTCACAAGGTGACAACAGGTGGCCGTGTTCGATGCATCAGCATAGACATCGATAGCCATGCGAATTGCTGTTCTGTGCCTGCTGTATGAGAATTGGCAGCAAACATGAATTGCTGCAAATCCAGGTACACTGTGTCTCTGTACACACCGCTCCGGGGTTGTTGTTAAGCATATACTTGAATGGCTGCATTTGTGGATGTTCGCTCAGGCAGTTGTACTTTGGAAACATCTTGTACTTTAGAATCCTGAACAAGTAGTTGCAACAGGAAAGGTCGTGGTGGCTGTAGCACTGTGAACAGAACAAGCCTTGTGCTTGACTTGAAATGAATCTGCCACTGTGCATTCGTGTGCACAGGATGGTGTACAGTGCCAGGATGATATTTCCTTGCCCGATTGTAGTGTGTGCATTGGCAGAATGTGTGTTTCCGATCCTTGGAGTTGGAGCAATGGAATCCGCAACCCTAGGGAGCGACGCTAGTCTGTGGATGGATACACTGGGATTTACTGACACGAGACCGCTGCATAGTTCTCTTCAGTGTGGAAGTTCTTTGTAGTTCTGATGAATAACAAGAAGAACATCGGTTGATTAATAATCGGTTGATTATTTAATGCCGCTGTGCTTTTTTGGCCCAGGGTTTGAAGCCAAAGCTGTCAGAGAACGCCTTCAAATCTCTTGCAGAACGCTCTTGGGCCATCATGAACGATTCCT